GTCAGGATGCGAATCACGATCTGCCGCTGCCGCGTCTCAGCTGCACACGAATGCAAGTACGTTTGTGATGCACTCATCCCCCGTTCACTCACACTCTGAACATGCAAACATCCGTCGAATCCAACCCAACGCTTGCGCCTATAATGAACAATGCTGTAATCCACTCTTCCGATTGCAGTCATCGATTTCCTTCTTAGAACCTTCAAAATTCAAAATGGGCAAAAAGCTGTGCTTTCGCTGCAATGCACGGTCTGCGCTGCTGCGTCGACCCAAGAACGGGCAGCCGTACTGCCGAGAGTGCTTCTACGACGCCTTCGAGACGGAAATCCACACGACGATTGTCGAGAGCAAGCTGTTTGTGCCGGGAGACCGCGTGGCCATTGGCGCGTCCGGCGGCAAAGACTCGACCGTCCTGGCATATGTGCTCAAGCGCCTCAACGACATGTACAACTATGGCATCGAGCTCTTCCTGCTGTCTGTGGACGAAGGCATCACGGGCTACCGCGACGACTCGCTCGAGACGGTCAAGCGCAACGAGCAGGCGTACGGCATCCCGCTCAAAATCGTCTCGTACCAGGAGCTCTATGGCTGGACCATGGACGCCATCGTCAAGGAGGTTGGGCTCAAGAATAACTGCACATTCTGCGGCGTGTTTCGAAGGCAGGCGCTCGACCGCGGCGCCGCGCTGCTCGGTGCAAACAAGATTGTCACTGGGCACAATGCAGACGACATGGCCGAAACGGTGTTTATGAACATTCTGCGTGGCGATGCGCCGCGTCTGCAGCGATGCACCAACGTTGTCACCGGTGAGGGGGGGGGGCCTCGTGGTTGCTGTTGTGTTTCGGGTTGGGTTGGATTGTTTTTTCTCATTCGCTTTCCTTGATGCTGTTGCCGTTGTCATCGCTCTGCTTCTCCACCCCCCCCCACACACACACACACACAGGCTCGTCGGACACTCTCCCGCGATGCAAACCATTCAAATTCACCTACGAGAAGGAGATTGTCCTGTACGCATACTTTCAAAAGCTCGACTACTTTTCGACAGAATGCGTCTACTCGCCGCAGGCATTCCGAGGCCATGCGCGCGCCTTCTTGAAAGACCTCGAGGCGCTCCGCCCAAGCAGCATTGTGGACGTGATTCGCGCGGGCGAGGCAATCGAAGTGGTGGAAGAAGTGCTCCAGTCCACCCCAAACCGCTGTGTTCGGTGTGGCTATCTTTCGAGTCAATCACTCTGCAAAGCGTGCGTCTTGCTAGAGGGCCTCAATCGAGGATTGCCACAGTTGGGCATTGGGCGTGAGGCCATGAAGGTTCAGTCCGAGTTGCTTGCATCTGTTGCGGAGCCCGCATCGGCACACCCAATAGCTTCAGAGAACACCAATGATGGTGACGCAAGTGCGTCGGCCTCTGTCAAAGCCCCAAAGGCATCGCGCAGTGCGCGTCGCGCGGCCAACCGACACCAGCCGCATTCCGAAGAAACGCTGCGCAAGTTAGCTCGCGGTCGCGAGGTCACCCATGTTCCAGAGGTTGATTTACAAGACGCGCTTTCGTGGTAGCATTGTTGAGTTTTCACATTGTAATGATAGTACAGCAATATCAAGTGTACTGCAACATGGCAAACCGAGAATCGGCGACTTTGCATGAAAGTTCACAATGGCGAGAAGAGTGTCTTATTAAGTGTACTACAACAAGAAACGTTTGCTTGCGGGGTGGGTGATAATGAAAATGAACGAGTAAGACGAAAACCCCGGCAAACACCTGATTCGGGTCGAGGAATCGAGCGAGCGAGAGAGGGAGAGAATAGCAACTCAAAAAAAAAAATCACTGAAGGAAGAAATCACTAACCAAACACACACACACACACACACACACACACACACAAAAACAAAAAAAGAAGTCTCAAGCGAGCCGCCAGGGATCGGTCGAGGGTTGGCAACAGCAGCACAACATCTGCCAACGTGATGGTCTCTTGTTGCGAGCAAGGTGCGCCTTGACAAGTTCAAGACGGTAACGTTCGGTGTTGGCAAGACTGGTAATCGCGTCCTGTAGAATGTGCATCCATTGCATCTTGTCGCTTTCGGACTTGAAGGTCAGCACGGTGCTCTTCGTCACAGGCTTGAAGCAACTGAAAAACGCCGGAACAGTGGTCGATATCACCAAGGCGTACCGCGCATCTGCGGGTGGCGAGTCTACAAGAAGGAAAAACAAAAAACGCGAGAAAAGAAAGAAAAAGTGAGAATAATCAACGCCGAAAAAAAAAAGCTCTGCACCATGCAATTCACAATGTGCCCCCCCCTCCCTCATACCGTAATCTTGATTGCCAGTCAGCTCCAAAGCTTCGTCGGACTCTTCCGAGAAGGTTTGCATGGGCATCTCATCGATCAGCCCAGTCGTGGATGCGTCGCTCGGGGCGTTCAAGCGAGCAGAAGTCTCATCGTCACCCTGGTCGACCAGCTGCGCGTCCTCGCGATCGTGATCCACTTGCTCGTGCTGTTGCATCGCATCGAGCGCCCGCTGCTGTTGCAGGACGCTCTGTTTGACCAGTTCGCGCTTTCGGCGGAGTTGCAGATGGCGTTGTTGCTTTTGCCGCCTGACAGTTGCACTGTCCTCGGGCAGGTTGCCGAGGCTTGCAAGGGGTGAGTCGTGCAAGGAGGTGTGAAATTCGACGTTACTTTCGCCGCTCGGCTTGCGGCTCGCGGGGCGGTGCGTCCTTCCGCTCGTTTGACCTGCAGCCGGCGCAAGCATTGAGCCCGTGTAGCTCTGTGACATGGAGGCCGTTGTCGAGGAGGTGCTCGCTCGGAATGCTCCACCTCCTGCAGCCTCAGGCTCTGGTTGGGAGACATCGGTGACCCAGGTCGACCGGAGCGGGATGACTGTGCGTGCAATCGTCACAGGCAGGCGACGAAGAGGCCCCGTGCTTTCCCGTCCGAGAATGAGGCAGTCGTTGAACAACAAGAGGACTCGAGGACTGATGCTGCTGCCTTCGAGCTCGAAAACTGCCATTGCAAGCAGATATGAGGGGGGGGGGAAGTGAGCTCAAAAACGACAAGGTCACACAGGCAACAACAACTACAACAACAACAACACGCATAAGCAGCAAAGCGAAAAAAAACAAGCAAACACAAGTCCGTTACCTCGTCCTTCTTGCACAAACGTGCGATCAGGCTGGACGAGCCGCGTGCGCACTTGCCGCAAACCTCGAAGCTCGTTTTGAAGGGTTGTGACGCGCATTCTTGCGTCATTCTCCTTGGTTTTGGCGTTGATGTGCGCCATCACTTCATCGAGCTTTGTCACGGCTTCGTCAAGAAGTTTGAAGGCTGTGTTTTCGTGCCCGGGTGTGTGCTTCTGGAGCTCCTTGAGCAACAGCTTGTACCTCGGAACGCGCTGCACCGGCATGATTAACAATGAGTCCAATGGGAGGCGATGGCAGCGCGGATCGGCCTCGGCAAGGCGAAGAAACTTGCGCCACGCCTTGCTTGTATGCCCAAGCGTCGCCAGCGTCTCCATGGCATAGTCAAAGTTTCGCACGTATGCAGTGTAGATTTTCAAAAACGGAGACATGCGGACAAAGACGCGAGCCACTTCCTCCACCATGGCTGGCACGTACTTGGACGGAATGGTGAAGGTGGTTTCGGAACCAGGGAATTCAAAGTCCGACGGCGCACCGTCTGAAGGGGGTTGAACCGATGGTTGTTGCTGATGGAACGGCTCGGGCTGCAAAGGTTGCGGGTGATGCATTGAAGTCGCGGACTGATGGGAAGCGACGCCAGAGCCGGTCGACTGCATGCTTCCACGTCGTGGCCGATCCGTGGCGGGCTGTTGGTGGACATGGATGGTGAATCGATTGACAATGTTTTCAACGTCCTGCAGCAACACGCCATTCACGTTGCAAATGGCGGGAAGCTCGGAGAAGATGTCGCGAATGATGACGCGGTTGATCACACCATGCGAGCGTTCGAGGCGCTCAAAGAGGGGATACATGAAGACATCCACAATGTTCATCAGACTGTCCAGGTAGGATCGCTCCGTTTCAAGAAGCTCCTCGATGGTTTTGAGCCGCGCAAAGTTGCAGCGCGACTCGTCGTCCATAATGTCCAGGTCGCCTTCTGCGTAGGTCGGTCCTTCGCTGGAAAAGAGCTCCTCGTGATCGAGGCGCGCGGCAGCATCAGACGCTGCACCACATGGCGACATTGAGTGATGAGCGTCAAGAAGTCCGGCAGAGTTGGCGACCGCCGTAGGTGAGAAGGAGGCATTGGACGCAGCCAGCGATTCCGACCTGGATTTGGCCAATCCCGATGGGAGGGCGCCAGTAACCGCGCCATCCTGGTTGGCAGCCGCGGGGGCAGAGGCGTCCCGTTGAAAAAGGTTGTCGAGTGGATCGCCGTGGCGCACGATCGGAGGTCGCACGCGCCGCGTTCGCCGAGACTCGGTCAAGTACCCGGCCGGCACAAATCCAACAACCCCGTTGCCCATATCTGCCTTCCACCAGTCGGGATCACCCGAATCGTCGTGCTTTTGCAACACCTTCAGAGTGTTGCCCTTGCCGATCGACACCTCTTCGTTCCTTCGCGCCCGGTAGTCATACAGCGCCTCATAGACATTCTTGGGAGCGCTCCGAACAGTGGACTCGCCGGACGACGTGCTGTGGCGGCTGCCCGATCGGACGTGGCTCAATCGCTGCCGCTGAAGAGTGTCGGCTGGAGAGGAAGTCCCGGACTCACTGCTTGCGCTGGCATTCAATAGCTCAAAGGAGACGGGAAGCACGCCATCGTACCCCTGGAACGACGACAACGAAGAATGAACGGTCAGGGGCGACGCAGCACTTGACTCGGACGTGGCAAACTGCCGGGCGACATAGGGCCGGCCAGCCGGGGAAGAAGATACGGCAGCAGCAGGAGGTGCTGCTGATGCTGGGGAAGGCGAGGATGTCAGCACGCTGCCTGTCGGCGATACACTTCGCGAAGGAGATGCTGCCGCAGCTGCCTTCAGGTGCTCGAGGTGCTCGAGGTGCCGAGCTTGTCGCAGCCGAAAGGCTGCCACGTCGGATGGCAAGTGGGATCGCCTTCCCGCGTCGCGAGCGTCTTGCAACTGCTGAAAGTGTCCCCGCAAGTTTTGAACATTCCCGCTGACGGAGAGGGAAAGTGGCGATTCAGCGGAAGGCGAGCGCCCGGCCACCAGTTGGCTGTGCGCAGCCGAGCCAGTGCCAGTGTGAGGCATCGATGCGGATGTTGTCAAGGTGTTTGCGGAAACAAGGTTGGACGGCGGCATGCTCGAAAGGGGACTCGGGGGGCCCGACGAAGGTGCCAAGCTGTCCGTTTCGTAGTTTGAGTCAAAGCTCGGGAGCTGGCGATACTGCGAGAGATTGCCCGATTCAGGCGCTACCATCGGAGCGTCCGGCGATGACGACTTTGCTCGCTCGCGTCTGGGCGAGGAGGGTTCGTCCACCTCGGCGATGCTGGCGCCGACCACGAACGTGCGCCGTCCGCCAGCATCCTTGCCCTTACCAATATTACTACTACTGCTGCCAGTACCACTACCACCACCACTACTGCTTCCAGCAGAGGCGACGGATGCAGCGTTCGCTATTGCGGCAGAGTTGTTTGCCGCTGCATCGAGTGGGACTGCAGACGACGACGGGGACGACGACGCCGACGACGATGACGACGGGGACCATCCGCGCGTGGTGACGGACATGAGCAGTGAAGGAGAGCTTTGTCGCTTCTTTGCGAGCAAGGGGTGCGCGGACGCAGCGAGGGAGGACGACGATGCATTGGGCGCGGAACAGGCCAAGCTCGGCGTCGAAGCGCCGTTTGGCGACGCGGACATTGAGCTCGCAGCAGCAGCAGTAGCAGCAGCAGCAGCAGCAGTAGAAGAAGAAGAAGAAGAGGAAGAAGTGTCTGACAAGGAGTAACGACAATCAGAGAGTGAGGATGAGAGTCCCCTTTCCCCTTTCCCCTTCCATGTTGCATGGGTGGTCAGAATGAGACAAGGCGAGGCAAAAAGCGAGACAAAGAGAGGAAGACGAGACGCTGTGGCGAAGCGGATTGAAACAAGCTGACTTGGCTGCTGGAGAGCACAAGTGAGTTCCATTGAGAGAGAGACAGAGAGAGACCACAACAGTACGAAAATAGCGAACACCAGCTGAGAAAAACACTCAAAAACCGAAACGACGACCGACAAAACGACAAGACGAGCGGCGCGCGGAATGGGGGAACCGAGGCACAAGGAGCACGAGAAGAGAAGAGGGGGGGGGATGGGAAGAGGGGAGCGAGAGTCAGAGAGAGAGGAGCCTTGGTATGATTACCATCCTCTTGCTGAACTGGTGAGCCAGAGGGCAGCTTCCGTCGCCCGCTGCCAGGCAGCCCCGATCCTACGGCTGCGGATGCAGTAGTGGACGAGCCGCCGCCGCCGCCGCCGCCGCCGCCGCTGGAGGCGAGGGTGCCCGGAGGTGACGGGCTCATCTCAGAACGCGCGCGGGTGTCGTTGAGAACCAGCTCAGAAAAGGCAGGGTTATGATATGACAAATGAACAAGAACAACAGGTAAATATAAACAAAGCACAAGGGGAAGTGGACTAGTGTACAAAATGAAAAAAAGGAGGGAAAAATTAAGACTGGAAAAGTCCAAGATGAGCAATCACATACGTGATGAGCAATCACAGACGTTCTGAGCAAAAAAACTGAGGGTTTGCGATCATTCATAGAGAAGACAAACGCAGTGGCAAGACCATTCAGCATTCAGCAGAATGTGTACCTGTAGCTTTGGCTGCGCTTTTCATTGAGGGGCGTTTGTTTTGGGGTTTGTTTTTTGTGCAAGCTCAAGTCAGTCGGAGAAAGGAGGCTGAAGATACGGTCTAGAGATCGCCTTTCGGATAACGTACACACTGAGTCTGACGACATTGGCTGGAAGGACAGTCCGAATTAAACCTGGAGCGTCCAAGAAGAACGATTGCTCTTTCGCTCCCGCCGCGACTTTTCTCCTTGTGCAAATCGTTGAGTTTGTCTTTGCGCTGTTATGGTTTGCTGCTGTGTAGTATTTCAGTCAAAGCGAGCAAGCAGCAATTTCACAGATGGTTCCAAATCATCGCAAAATGCAAACCAACGCATCAAAGTGCAATCAACGAGGCCACTCCTGCCTTTCCTTCTTTTCGCGACTGTGGCTGTTTTGATCCACAATGATGATTGTCAACCCCAACTATTTCCTGTTCTTTCATTTCTTTTCTTTTTTTGGGCTCGTTTCAGTTCAAATTTTTTTTTGTTCTTTTTGTTGGTTTCTTTCCTTTTTTTTCCCAGCGTTCTTTCTTTCCGTGCTAATTTTTGCACTTTTTTTGTGTTCGATTCTCCGCGCTTCTTCCTTTCTTCTTCTTCTTCTTCTGTCTACATTTACCCTACATTACCAATGGGCCCGTCACACATCACTGAAGCTGCGTACGTGGCACAGGCGCCGTCCAGCAAGGCGGCAGGCAAGCGCGACCCCGTGCCAACCCTCGTTTCGCAAGCCACCCCCACCGCCACCGCTCGCACGAGGGCTGCGAGCGCCGCATCGGCCGACGAAACTCCTGCAGCACCTGCGACTGCTGCTGCTGCTCCGCGGACACGCCGTCCTGACGTCTATGCCAAGGGGCTGACCGCGTGGGCCATGCCGGCGTTTGTTGGGCTGCTCGTGGCGGCTGGGTATGCGCTCGCCGACATGTACCAAGAGACAATCTCCACCTTCCAATACCAGCAGCGCATCACCCCGCTGCACGCCATGTGGGTGCCCGTTACTGCTGTGACTTGCTATGCAATTGGCATTTTCACCCTCAAGCGCTTTGTGATGGACAAGCGCGACAAGCCCGTGGATGGCAAGTTCATCCAAGTCCTCATGTTCTTGCACAATGGCTTCCTCTCTGCCTGGTCGCTCGTCATGCTCCTCAAGATTTCCACGCAGGTCAGTCCGTTCGACCATGTTGTTTTGTCGTTGTCGTTGTTGTCTCGACGCGCTGAGCAGAAGTGCTTGTTCTGATCTACGTCCATCCATTCAGCGACGTGACTAAAAGTGGGGTGAGAAGCGCAGTGACAGCTTTTTTTTTTTCTTTTTTTTTTTTATTCTGTTGGGGCAGCAATTTTGATTCTTTCGATTTATTTTTAAGGGCAGATCCGTTTTGACACGCTCAGAGCAGAGATAGAGCTCGATGGGTGATGGATGATGGATGAGCATGCCGGCTGCAGATCGTGCGTTGAGCTACCCCCGTGTGTATGTGTGTTGATTTTGCAAGTTTGTGTTTTGTTTTTTTTTTTTTTGTTTTTTTTTTTTTTTTGTTTTTTTGTTTTTTTTTTGTTGGGGAAAATGCTGCGCATCGCTATGTTGATCTCTCGTGTCAATCTCCTGCATTGCTTATCTTTTTTGATATTTCTTGTTGGGACGGCGATCATCGCTGTGCGCTGTGTCTTGTGAGCAATCGAGCTCGAGGCACAAAGCGACAGCGCAAAGTGAGAGAGGCGAACTCAAAACCTTGGTGAAATCCGGATTTTGCAACTGTGATCAAAAACTCTGGATCAGAATCAGCGCACATGCGTATCACTTTGTTGACTTGTGAGCGCCGATTTGATGGAGAACAGTCGCCAGCATCTTGCTCTGAAGAGACCTTGTGATGAACAAGTGGATGACGAGCAAACCGCAACAAAACAGAAACAGAAAAAAGCTGTGTTGTGCGTTGAAAAAATGAACGCTGGACTAACTGACTCACTGTTGTTCACATGCTGTTGAGCAGATTGCCACGACTGGTTACAACGCATTCGTGTCTGAAACCGATACCGTCAACGAGTGCCTGTGGTGCGACTCCAACAAGGCCCAAGTGCAAAACAACGAGCTCTACTTCTGGTACCATGTGTTTTACATTTCCAAGTTTTACGAATTCATCGACACTGTCTTTATTGTCATCCGCAAGGTACAGCATCCGACCAAGTTTTGGTTGTGTTGTGTTGCTTTCACGGACGCGCTTCGCTCGTTCTCGACCATTGAAAACTCACTCACCGGCTACTCTCCGTCTCCTTTGTGCTTTTTCTTGTTTCTTCGCAGAAACCATTGATCTTCTTGCACTACTACCACCACATCATCACCCTGCTGCTGTGCTGGGTCACCATGGACGACCAGCTTGCGCCCCAGTGGATTTGCATCGCCACCAACACCCTTGTGCACGTCTTCATGTACTACTTTTACATGGTCCAGAGCGCCGGCTTTTCGGTTTGGTGGAAGCGTCACCTCACCAAGCTCCAGATCATCCAATTCGTCGCGGATCAAATCGGCAACCACATGTGGGTGTACTATGCTTGGATTGTCAAGCTGGCCTGCCCTGGCTCCGTCGTGGGCTACGCTTGGGGCACTGGCGTGATTGGCTCCTTCCTTGTTCTCTTCCTGCAATTCTACGCACGCACCTACAAGCGACCAGCTGCTGGCGACAAGCGTGGCACTCCTGTCAAGGCAGAGTAGAGTTGAAAACAAGCAAAGCTCGAAGCTGGAATTAGGCATTTTGCATTCTTATCAAATCGTGTGCGTGTGATTTTTTGTTTCGTATGTTGCGTGTGCTTGCTCTGCTCGTTGTGGATTGATTCTGCATTAAAGTTTACTTTTACCATCAACCCCACTTTGTTCATGATCTTTTGAAAATAGGCGAGGCAAAGAAAAATGAAAAACAATATTTAAAAAAAAAACACGCACACACAGAGGTATCTCACTCATCCTCGGCGTACTGATTGAGCGCGCTCAACGCGGTGGACATGGGCGTTGCTACAGGCGATGGGAGCAGTGCTGCAGCTGCAACCATCGGTACAGGTGCAGCTTGTGGTGGCATGCCTGGCGTTGGCAGCAAACCCACCGAAGAACGAGGCGCGTAGGTGTCCATGCCATGGCGTCCTGCCACCATCGTGTCGACCAGATCAGATCGATACGAGGCAGATGGGGCGCGCGGAGGCTGGGCCGAGTACATGGACGGAGGCACGTCTGTCAGCATGGCCGAAACAAACGCTTGGTCTGCGGGTTGGTGCGGCAAGCCCCACATCCCATGGCCACCTCGTCCTGCCTGGCCATGATGGCGACCACGCCCTCCGCGAGCGCCCCCTCGCGAGTGTGAGGCACCTGTGGATTGACTGTCGGCCTGCAAAGAGTCATGGATTCGTGTTGAATAGTTTTGTAAAGGACCCCTCTGGTCGCTGTGCGAGTACTTACATTGCTGGAATCAGTGGCGCTTTCCTGATTGCGCTGCTGAGCTTGTTCTCTGGAGATGGATGCAACCACAAAACAACAGGTGATGGGGTGAGCAAACTCGTCATGCTGCGTTTGCTCAATGGTTTTCCCAGTTACCTTCGTGCTTGCTTGCGTGCATGTTTGGCCGCTTCTTCTTCCTCGTCATCGGAGAATTCGATGGCCTGCAGAGAACAGGTGGGGTTGGTGCTGGGGTTTTCGAGCTGAACAATGCTTCATCAAACAACTCTAGCATTACCTCAGCTGGAGGCTCTTCGTCGTGAAGCCAGGAAGCATCCGTGCCTCGCAGCCGCTGTAATTGGGCAATCAGCACATACATGGTTGCGTCCTTCTCGTGTGGCGCGAAAAATAGCCGGGTGCCGACGGACAGACCGAGGTTTGCGATTTCTTGAACGTTGTTAAAGCGAACAGAGTAGTGCGGCTGCTTGACTGGGCCAAACACATCAAATATCTGCATGACAGGGCAATGCAGTGAATGAGTTTGTGTGCAATTTCAAGGCAAAGCAGTGTGATTGCGAGCGCGCAAACAAAACAGAACAAAACAAAGCAACTAATACCAACACCAACACAGTTCCAGGACGAAATCTCTCCAAAACCCACTGCTCTCCAACCATCACTTACTCGCCCAATCGGAAGCTTGTCTTCAAGCCACAAAACCGAATCGATATCCAGAGCAATAGAACCGGCCAGAGATTCGACCACCACAATCGTGTCAATCACGCTGTGAACATGTCCGATGCAGGTCAACTGCACGTGTGCCACGTCCGAAATCACGACAGGCTCCACTGCGGGCAAGTCGCTTGGCAGCAGCTCATTCCGAGTCTTGAGCGGCCCGCCATCCTCGTCGTCATCGTCGTCTTCGTCATTGTCGTTGCGGGCTGCTCCGCGAGTCTTTTTGGTGCGGTTTTGCTGTGATTTGCGCGTAGATTGCGAGTCACCACCAGCCGCATCGTCCAGGACCATCGCAGACGATGCATTCTCAGCGCCCGAGCCATCGCTTTCGTCGCTGCTGTCGTCACTACTGCTGCTGCTGCTGCTGCTGCTGCTGCTGCTGCTGCCGTCGCTATTGTCTGAATCGTCGTCGCTGTCGCTCGAGGAGGACGCATCCAGATTTTGGCTGCGGTACTCTGGCTCGACGGGCACACCCGAGATTTCGGCCGTCGCGGCCGCTCTGCTAAACAAGGACGACATTTGCGAGCTGTCTTCCGTCGCTGCAGCAGCCTCTTGATCGATTGCATCAATGTGGCCATTGCTGCTGCGCTCGAGTGCAGCCACGACGTCTGGCTCTGGCTGTGCGATCGACTCCTCTGCAGCAGCAATGGTGGCGACAGCGGCGGCCTCGCTCGCCTGCTCCTCCTGTGGCGACGGCGATGGCGCCCGCTGAGCGTGTTCGTCGCTGTGCATGGTATCGTCGGCAGTGCTGATCAGTGCAGCATCATCCTGCTCTTGTGCTACGACTGCTCCTGCAACGCAGGTCTCCATCGCTGTGGCAGTGGAATCGGAAACCGCGCTCGTGTGCTCCACGTGTGACACTGCTGCTGCGCTTGGCTGCGCGACTCGCCCGGCGTCCATGGCAGGAACCGGCTGGTGCGCATCAGACTCGTCGAGCTGGGCGACTGCGCTGTGGGGTTGGAGCTCCTCGGTCTCGAATGGGCGCGGATCCGTTGCTGGTGTCGCGCCAACGGGCAATTCACTCGTCAAAGTGTTGTCCACCACTTCCATTTGTTTCGATAGAGATGACTGCGGTAGGTTTTTGGATTGTTAGATTGTGCTAATCAGAATCACATCAACGGTGGATTGAGCCTGGCTCACTGGAAGAGAGCTCAAAACGCTGGGTTTCAGTTTTCATGCCACCGTCACTCGGGCAGCAGCGCAGTCCTCAGATCATTGGATGAATTTGGTGTGTTGGTTTCATGATTTTGATTTGACATTTCGCTCTCGGATGGTGGACTCTGTTGCACACGCTGCAAAGTGCTTTGCCGTTTGACGGAGTCGGTGATTTTCCAACGCTGCTGCTGCTGATCTCCACTCAATGTATTTCTATTTCCAATTCTGGCTATCATTCTTCTTTTTTTCACTTTTCCAACATGAAGCTTGCTGCGATTGCATTGCTGCTGTCGGCTTGCTTGGTCGCGACCGTTTCAGCCACTTCGTCTGCGCTGCCCACACGCACCGTGTCCTACGCCAACCAGCGCGTGCTCTCCTGGTAACGCACCTCTCGCTCTCTCTCTCTCTCTCTCTGTCTCTGTCTTTTGATCGATGCGTGTCGCTTTGTGTGTCACGATGGTTGCACTCGTGCGCTGGGAATCCAAATCATTGCTCCGTTCCCATTCTCGCTTCTCATCCGTACTCTTCCTCACTGTTTTTGATCTTCTTCTTCTACTTCGACGACTTCGACTTCGACGACTTTTTCTTCTTCTTCTTTTTCTTCTTCTTCACTTTCACTTGACTTTGATTCAATTCCAAAAATCACGAGTCATTTTTTTTCGGTTTTGTTATTTTTTTCCCTTTTTGCGATACAATTTCAAATTAGAAGGAGTTAATAATAAAATAAAAACAATTGCGAACGAATCGCAACAAAGACGGATTTTATTATTATTACGATGATCATGATTTATGATGATTGAAACAACAAAACAACAAGAACAACAACAACAACAGAAAATCTGACTCTTTTCTGTTTTGAACGTTTGACTGTTTTTCTTGTTTTACTCACCATTGCAAATCACGAATTCATGATTGGACGATGCATTGAATTGAATTGAATTGAATGAATAGTGAGATGACGAGCAACGAGGGCGTCAGGCTGCTGCGCAACTTTGTCGACTCGCACCGCATCGACATTTGGCAAGACCACAACCCGATGCACATCCGCGTGACTGGACTCCAGGCGGCCTTGGTCGAGCGCATCCCAGGCGTCGTGTGCGAGAACTACATTGCCGATCTCGAGGCCGCCGTCGTCGCGCATGAGGCGGAACTCGCCGCGATTGCCGCTGCCCCGACGGCAGGCTGGTTTGACGCGTACCACCCCGTCGACGACATTCTCGCCTACTACAAGAACCTGACCGTCACGTACCCGTCCCTCATCTCGTGGGTGCCCTCCATCGGCAAGTCCACCCTCGGCAAGGACATCCCCGCCGTTCACGTCACCTCGGCCAAGGGCTCGAACAAGCCAAAGTTCTTCATCCAGTGCAACATCCACGCTCGCGAGTGGATTTCGTCGGCCGTCTGCAACTACTTGATTGACTTCCTCGTCAAGAACTACAATGTCAACAGCACCGTTGCCGCAATCCTCGACTCGCAGGAGCTCGTCGTCATTCCCGTCCTGAATGTCGATGGCCTCGCGTACACGTACAGCAACGATCGTCTCTGGCGCAAGAACCTCTCCACCAACAAGGGCTCCAAGTGCCTCGGCACCGACCTCAACCGCAATTACCCCTACCACTGGAACAATGGCGGCTCGAGCTCCAACCCCTGCGACGACACGTACATGGGCACTGCTGCCAACTCGGAGCCCGAAACCCAGGCCTCGGTCAACTACTTCCGCGCGTCGGCCCCCGCCATTGCTGCCATCGACTTCCACTCGTACAGCCAGCTCGTTCTCCGCCCGTGGGGTGACACCAACACCAACTGCCAAGACGAGACCCGTTTCGCCAAGCTCGGCACCAACATGGTCAACACCATCTACGCGCTCACCAAGACCACCTACACGAGCGAAAAGTCCATTGGTCTCTACCCCACCAGCGGCACTGCCAGCGACTTTTTCTACGCCGACGACAGCAACAACAAGGGCTACCGCGCTGCTTCTTACGTAAGGCGGTTTGTTGTTGGTTTTGTGGGGGGGGGGGTTCTATCTTTGTGGTACTGCTGGGTCGGGTGAGGAAGAAGGGTAGTCGGGGAAAGCACACATCAACTCACAATTTATTTGTTTCTTCTGCTTTTTTTTTTTTTTTTAATTTCGCCAGACCATTGAGCTCCGCGACACTGGCAAGCAGGGCTTCCTCCTTTCGCCCACCCAGATCGTCCCCAACGGCGAGGAAATCCTTGGCGCCTTCCTGGGCTTTGCCACTGACATTGGTGCCAACCCCATCGTCAACGCTTAAAGCAAAAACCAAAACCACTGAGCGGGTTCAACTCTCTTTTGCCGTTTGCTTGTTTGCTTGTTGCGTCGGTCGCGCGAATAGCTGGTCGTTGTTCTCTTTGCTAGTCGTTTGCCAGTTTCTTGACTTGTGATTTGTAGAGTTTTGTTTGTTTGTTTGCTTCTTCATTGCTACCACAGTACAGTTGAACGTTCTTTTTTTCATTTCAGGACCATGGTTTACTTCCTTTGTTGTTGTTTGATGCTTACTGTTTCTTGCTGAGCTTTCATCAGTCTTCTTTTTGCTCTATTCCCTTACCATGCACACTTTCAATGGCAGCGACGCGGATTCAGTCACGTCGGTTTCTGACATCACCGACAAGCTCAACCTCAAAGCGCGAGGCAAGCTTCGTCAGCCTGCGCCACTGGTACATGTCGCTGCTGTTTGTTGCTGAATTTCCGACCATCCATGATCTTTTGGTTTTCCTTCATCTCGACATCTGAGCACGCATCACGTCAAAGCTTTGTATGGATGTACGAACGTGATTCACGCAATTCTCACTCAATCCTCTCTTTCCCTCCTGCTTTGCCAATCACAGCTCATCAGCAGCTTGGGCACGTCTGTTCCTGAAGCGCCACATGCCGTCTCCGTGTGCATGCCGGCGTGGCAGGACAACGTCGACTACGAGGAGGGCCGCGCTCGCGTTCACGACCAGCTCCAGAGCGGCTACCCCCGATTCTGCTTCCATCGAGCAGTCAAAGTGGTAAAACAGGGGGATGGGGTGTTTTCTCATTGCTGTTGGTTTTTGGCAATGGCCATTTGCTCTTGAGGACGTGGTGGCTGTGGCTCACTGATATCGAGGATTTGGTGCAAAATCTCGTTCCTCCGACAGCTCGCCAAATTGGGATTGGTGATGGCTGGATTGGACGGAACAACGCATGGATGCCTGTGTCTACCCGCGGAATGGATCGCCAAGCGCTGCCGGGACTTTATCCTAGCAAGAGCAAGCCTCGATGAGAGCCTGCGGGGGTCGAACGATGATGCGGTTCAAATACATTTGCTGGACTTTCAGCCCGAGGCAATCAAACTTCCAACAGTCGCGGTCGTCACGTACCCGGTATCGTTGCAAGCGATTGCCAAGAGCTACTGGCAGCATTCTGGGGAAATTGTGTCTTCGCGCCTTGCCGAGAGACTCGTCAAGGAAGCCGTTTTGCAAACCAAGCGGCAATGGCCCGCAGAGTTGCTGCAAGAGCTCCAGGCCACGGCGGGCGTTGAGCAGGATCGAGAAGAAGTTGACGAGTTTATCGAGGAACATTTTGGCCGAAATCTCATTGCGGACGGCGCGACAGCCAAGCTGCGCATCCGGCAACGGTTGGCAGCGCTTGTCGAGCATGACCCGAGGGATGTGTTTCTCTACCCCACCGGCATGAATGCCATCTTTGCTGCTTTTCAACTCCTGCATCAGCAGCATCCTACGCGGAAGAGCATCATGTTTGGGTATGACCCGCGGCGTGGATTGTTTTTGTGAGATAGGGGTTGTCGCCGCCCATTGGTGAAATCGACTGACATGGCTTGCTGACTATTTTTGACCAGCTTTCCGTATCTTGACACGCTCAAAATCCTGCAAAAGTTCGGGCCAGGCGCGTACTTCCTGGGCCAAGGTGATGAACAAGACATGCAAGAGCTCGAGCGCCTGCTTCGAACAGAACCCATCCTTGCCGTGTTTTGCGAGGTGCCGAGCAACCCATTGTGCAAAACCCCGGATCTGAAGCGCCTTGCAGCGCTTGCGCATCACCATGGCGCCGCCGTCGTGGTGGACGACACCATCGGCAATCCCTACAATGTCCGAGTCCACCCTCACGCAGATCTTGTCGCAACAAGTCTGACCAAGTTGTTTTCGGGTGCCAGCAACGTGATGGGAGGCAGGTATGTTATTTTGGGTGGGAAGCGGGATGTGAAGAAAAATACAAGGGGGGGGCCTTTGCAAGAGTTCTAACCTTGCACCTTGACGATGAAAACAGCATTGTCGTAAGCAAGCACAGCCCGCAGTATCTCGAACTGCATTCAAGGCTGCAGGCTACGTTCGAGGACACTTACTTTGACGACGATGCCATTTTTCTGGAGCGCAATTCGCGGGACTTTCAAACGCGAGCCCAGCTTGCCAACAAGAATACGGAAAAGCTCTGTGATTTTTTGCGAGAGCAACCTCTGCGTAAGTTCGGTCGAGGCAGCTTTTGCAGCTTGGCTGCCCCCAGTCTGTTCTCTCACACAACGTCGTTGGTTGGCGGAACTTTTCGGCATGACAGTTCGCGAAATCCATTTTCCCAAGTTCTCGTGCTTGGACCAGTACCTTGGTTGCAAGCTTGAACGGGGTGGATATGGCAGCCTGTTTTCGATTGTGTTTGACAACGACAAGCAGGCACAGATCTTTTTCGACGCGCTGAATGTGAACAAGGGCCCCAGCTTGGGCACCAACTTTACCCTGTGTTGCCCATATACGATTCTGGCGCACTACACGGAGCTCGATTTTGCCCAGCAATACGGAATTTCCTCGACGTTGGTTCGAGTCGCCGTCGGGCTGGAAGAGTACCAGTCTATTCGTAGTGCATTCGAGTGTGCACTTGCGGCGCTGTCGGCCAGCAAGGCCTCGGAAAGCGAGAAATAGTGTCGCGTGTGTTTTGTCTTTTCTGCGATCAAGGGGGTTGACAAGCATGCTTTGTGTGTCGATGCCAATAAATTACTTCAGTTGCCCTATCAGCTGTATTGCAATACACGTCCGCCGCCTATCGCCCAACAAAGCCTTCGCAAACGTAATAGAATTCACCCGACTCTGTTCGTGTGGCTGGGGGCTTGCAAAAGTGCACCTCTCGAAAGTGTCGACGCAGCGTTGTGGTCAAGAGCTGGTCCTCGGTGCCGTGAAAACTCTTGCACACAAACCACCCATCGATGCGCAGAAACCGCGTGGCAAAGCGAAGAGCAGCCTCGATTAGATTGACGCACTGCAAGTGCGTCACACCTGCATTTCCACTTGCCGGGGGCGCCATATCCGAGAGGACGACGTCAACCAGTCGAGTTCCCAGAATGGCTGCCAATTGATTGTGTGTGCGTGTCGCTGCAGGGTTGGTGCCCACAAGGATCAACACCGGGTGTGAGGAAATCATGGCATTTGGAAACAAACAAACCAAACAAAAAGGGGGGCGGGAACAACAAGTGAGTGAACGAGAATTCAGAATGGTTCGAGCAGAGAGTAGAGTTGCACCATACCTGTCATGTCCGCCTGAGGTAGTACAATAGCACCTGGCACACGCTCCATGGGCTCGATATCAACGGCGAGAACGAGTGGCGAGAGCGGTGGTGATGGTGGGGCGTTCGCTGCACCATTCGACGTGGCGATTGACGAGGCATTTGTTGCGTTGGGTTTCAATTGTGCTTGCTCCTCCTTGTCGATGTGGGCTTCATTTTGTTGTGCGCCGGCCATGGGTGGAGTGCCTGAACTTTGCTTGGTCTCGTTGCTGTGTCTCAGAAGGAGGTCGCGAAAGTCCTTTCCAACCCGCTCAACGGCGACCTGCGTCCACCCACCCGGCCGTGCACCACAGTCAATGACAACTAGCCCACTGCGCACTACTACTGGTTGCGCGGCGGTAGCTGTGGACGCGGTGGCCCGCTTGCTGGCTGCAGCCTGTCCTGCTGGCGTTCGCAGGAAATGGAACTTGTCATCGAGTTGCTTGAGCTTGTATGCGCTGCGACACCGGTAGCCATCTTCGAGTGCCTGATGCACATAGGGGTCGCTCTGCTGGCGCTTTGTCCAGCGCGATGATCTGCGAGAATAGAGGGCCACGAGGTCGTACCAATAAACAAACAAACAAAACGAAACAAAAACAAACAAAGGCTCAGTCGCTCAGAGCTTTTGTGTTGTCAATCCAAAAGCTGACATACGATGCTCCGAGGCGGGATCCAGATGCTGCGGCCGTCGCTGCAATCGAGCCGTGCAGCGAGAGTGTCGAAAACAATCGTACTGCGGTCGACCGAAGCATCCAAGACAGGAATAGAGTGAGTTGGGGCCGAAATAAGCATCAACGTTTGTTTGGGCCTGTCCAAGATTGGTAGGCGCGGTTACGACCAGCAGCTTGATCAGGGCAAAATGAACAACCAGGTGGATTCGTCGCTTTTCGAATTTCAATCGATTGCCAGTTTTGCTTCTTTTGTTTGTTTCCTCCAATCGGCAGTCTCGTCTTTTTGAATCTGTAGTGAGGCCGAGATCACTCTTATTCGAGAGCACGATGAGGCCGGCACTGGCAACAAGTGGGAGTCTTGACATGGCAGCAGCAAGAATAATGCATCATGTTTGGAATCGACGATACAAGTGAAAACACTCAACAATCAGATAATGCAGCGCCTCAGACATGCAGCAACAAGCAGACAACTCAGAAGAAAATGGCAGGCCGTCTGGCTTGCATCACACTCGAATGACCCGAAACGCTTCATACGCGTCCTGCCACTCGCGAACCGGAACCTCACCGCCGCATGCGGGCATGTCAGTGACAGCGCCCGAATCTCGAACAATGCTGAAGGCACTCTCGAGCCAGTAGAGATGCACATTCAAGAATTGTAGTAACAAGCGGAAATCAACCTCAGGGTAAGATTGGATGGCATAGCTGTCAGAGTTGGCGGTGCACCAGCCAACAATGTCGACCGTGGCCAGCCTATCAAAGACTTGGCGTGTGGTGAGATAGAGGATGTCAGACATGGATTCGACCCGCCATGCGTCCGTGTCATGGTGGCAGCAGCCGAAAAAGCTATCCATGTTGTTGCCAACCAGCTCGGCAATTCTAGTCAACTGGATGGGTTGAATCACAATGTCGGGTCGCGAATGTACAATGAGCGTGTTCTGCGGCATGGCCGCGCCGCCCGAAATCTTGCTGACAACGTCGAGCGCGAGGTGGTGCGTCGCCTGCAGACCATAGTAATAGGAGGCCAGCACCATGGGGTTGTTCTGGTCTGGAAAGAACGCTGGTAGCGTTGGCATACGGCCGCTGCCTTTGGCTGCATCGCTATCCTCAATCATGATGACGGCATGCTGCATGAACGGATGCTCGAGATGAGCAAGGACTTCCTCGGAGCTCTGCTTTGCGCGCTCGGCGTCAGGGCCGCGCCACCATGCCGCATCCCCATGGTCCGTGGTCGACCACGTGTGCTGAACAATGACATAGGGCCTCTCGAGCGAATCAACAAACCGCTGGAGCTCAGACGCCGTCTGCACAAACGTTCGCAAGTGGCCAGTGAGGTACAGGAAGATGGGCGGCGATTCGAGGTCGAGGGTGTGCACAGTGTTTGCGCTCGTCAGCGCAGCGTCCAGTGTGTCTGACACGGGAGAGCCAAAGGCCATGTACCGAGCGCCTTCGACTGCGCTGAACTTGGTTTCTGTGAGATTGATGAAAAACTGAAACTTGGGAGGTGGGACGACGTCTGGTTTGGGAATTTCGGGATTGAGCGTTGATTGTTCGGACGCCTCTTCTTCCGGATGAGCAATATCGGCAGTATCTGGCTCAGAAATTTGCTCGGACGTTGCATTTTCGTCGGCTGTCTCTATGATGGGGCTCGAGGGGTCCTGAGGTGGTAGCGGATCGGGTGAAGGTTTGTCGGGATTGAGCGTTGATTGTTCGGACGCCTCTTCTTCCGGATGAGCAGTATCGGCGGCATCTGACTCAGAAATTTGCTCAGGTGCTGTACTTTCGTTGGATGTCTCTATGATGGGATCCGAGGGGTCCTGAGGTGGTAGCGGATCGGGTGAAGGTTTGTCGCTCGCAATGTCGCCGTGCAAAGTGACAACGCGTGTTGCGTTTTGTGCCACCTCACGGAGGTCGTCATCCTCCTCCGCCTCATCAAAGAGAATGGGCACTGCGATGCGGGATCTTTGCGACAGCCAGAGCATCAGCATTCCCAGACCCACCAGGAGTGCGAACAGCGTGAGCAAGCCCTGGCGGCTGGAAACGGTTGTGATGAGCTTGCGTATTCGGTGTCGGACGACGCCCGCGTCGCCACGTCCGTCCTCGAGCGACTTGTGGCCTCTTTCGAAATGGATACTGCAGTGGAATCCTGTGGTTGAATGCTTGCTTTGTTTAGTTTTCAAGCAAGAAGAATTGCCAGCACCGCTCGCTCAGCAACCGTGCGTTTTGTGTTTGTTTGTTTCCCACCAAAATGTTCACACCTTTGTTTTTTGTTGTTTTTTCCCCAAATCTCCCGCTGATCTGCACGACATTGAACGATGTATATGCAAGACAAACTAGCAAGCTGGCTTACTTGGGAGGACGGCGGTAGCGCTGCCGTCCGCTGCCCAATGAGGTGGCCGAGTAGGAGGAGGTAGCTGCGCAATTTGACTGCCTGGTGACATTGCAATCTCTGCCCGCACAAAGTTGGACTGAGTGAGGAGAGAAAGTGCCAGTCATGACGAACATCCTGCTTGCTTGACTGTGTCGCAGATGACCCCACTCGATTTCTTCAGCGTCAAAATCTACTGCAGTCGGGTTCGGTCAGTGTTTGTGTTTGGGTGATTTCTCAGTCTCTTTTTCTTTGTCTTTTTTTTTTTTTTTTCTTGGCATCTTCTTTCTCTCTTTCTCTCTTTCTCTCTTTTCTTTCCAGTCACAAACGTTCGACGCTTTGGAAAATCAACAAACGCCATTTGAAGCCAAATCCGCTGTTGCAAAGACCGACTCGACTGGTGCTTGTTGTCAAATATGACGCTCACGCAGCAGAACGCGCGTCGAAGCGCCTCGGACGCCGCACTCGACGGACCGAACGCGTGGAGCGCGCGCCTCAAGAAGCACTCGCTGGCTGGTGCTGTGGCTGCTGGCCCTGCTGTGAACGCGGCGCCGTGGTCGGGCGCAGGCGGCTTTGGCGAGTGGCTCGCAGACGTCGTCCTGCGCTGCTGCTGCTCGCCAACGGACGCCATCGGACAGCCCACAGCGGGAACGAAGGAGACCAAGCCGACGAAGACAGTGAGCAAGACCGCAAAGCAGCAGCGAGCGTCTGCTTCGTCTGCCTCGGTGGCGGAACGTGTCAACGCATTGCAGCAGCTCCACAATGCAGTCCAAGTGCTCGCAGCGCTGCCGTTGAACGACGATGCCAATCATCACAGCAAGCACATTGTTGCCAAGACAGTGGAATCGTCCTTGTCAGAGTCGTCATCATTGGCGGAGCCACCTCGCTCGTCCTCCAATCTCGTCCTCGCAAGTCGCGACTCGGGCCTCGCCGCCATCGCCGGTTTTCTGTGCAAGCAGCTTCAAGTCGAGTCGGACGAGCGAGTGCTTACTTTGCTTATTGCGCTGCTTCCATGCGTAGCCGTAGCCATTGCCGACAACTCAAAGCAGCAGCAGCAGCACCAAACCGATGATGCGATGGACACCTCCTCCGAAGGAACGTCGCCCATTGCTCCATCGACAAGAGAGGCATGCTTCCGCGCGCTGCTTGATTGCGCAGCAACGCAGCATGCAGCTGATCAGCACGAATTGGCGTCAAGCCAAGCAACGTCGTCGTCGTCGTCATCACGAGAGCCAATGCACATGAAAGGAAGCACGCCGAGACCGTCTGCCGCCGTCAAGGTGGCACTGCTGAAGGCTCTGGTCGCGATTTTCCCGCCGAATTCAACCTCACCGACGGACACACAACTGGATGAAGCCTTGGAATGGGCCTTGCTCTGGATCAACTCACGTCACCACCTTGTTCGCCGACACGCATTGCTCGTCCTTGCTCACCTCCATCCCATCAGTGACGCAAAGGACGCCACCCCACAGCGTCTGTGCCACTTTTTTTTAACCGACGACGATCCACGCGTGCGCGCCTGCGCTATGCAGTGCCTCATCTTGCTTCATGGTCGAGGCGCTGCCCTTTCGTTGATGTTGTACCCTTCGGTGTGTAGCTTGCTCGTGGACGACGATGAAGGTGTTCGCGAAAATGCCGTTCGACTGATTGCAGTGCTTGGCCGAGCGTTCGTCAATGCTGCCATTCCGGCCAGTCAGTCCCTGTTGCTACACGGCGCTTCCAATGCAGGCGCCGCTTCCCACGACTCTGATTCGCAAGAGCAGCCAACAGTGCGCTTTGCGGATGACGTGTTTGCTCGCCTTGGAAACATGGTGAACGATGCCAGCATGAAGGTGCGCGCGTGTGCGTGTGCCCTGCTCGGCGAGTGTCGCAACGTGACATCCACCCTGTTGTTGCAAACCTTTGACAAGAAGCTGATGGCCCATCAGAAATCCAAGGGCAGCTTGCGCTCTGAGCTGTCCAAAACTAAGAAAACCGGGTCAAAGCGCAAAGCCGCCATTGCAGCATATGCCGCCGAGCGAGAGGCCGAGCATGAAGCCAAGCGTCAAGGCCAGCGGAGAATGCGCGCGCCTCGCGATCATAGCGGGGCTTGGAATTCCAACGCCCCTGCAGCAAACTCGGCGTCAGTGCCGCACGTTGCTGCAGCAGCAGCAGCTGCTGCTGCTGCTGCTGGCGTTCCCGCCAATTCGGTGGCAGATGGCCATCCCAAAGAAGAAGCAGGCTTGGTCGACCCGACCGACATTCGCCTCGTCGATAGCGGCGCGTGCGGCGCATTTGTCCATGCGCTCGAGGACGAGTTTTTGGAAGTGCGGTCGGCCGCTGTGATGGCGATTTGTGCCTTGGCTGTGTCTGCACAGGCCTCGCAAGTCGGCAAGTCGGATGGGACACGCGAAGATGAGAACGATGCCAACGAGGAGGAGGACGAGTCGGAGGAGGAGGAGGAGGAGGAAGATGCCGAAACGGAATTCAGCACCGCCTCCTCGACCTTCAACTCGACCAAGGGAGGTGTGCGACAGACGTCGACCATTGCGGTGCGCAATCTGTTTGCACACGCGGCGGTCGACTTTCTTGTGGACATGGTCAATGACGAAATTGACACGGTGCGTTTGGGTGCCATCTCAAGTCTGCATCGGTTGAGTGGCACAGTGGTGCTCGGAGAAACGCAACTCGAGGCTGTGCTTGGTGTTCTTCACGATGCATCGCCAGTGGTGCGCGCTGCAGTGCACAATCTGGTTGCGTGCACGCTTGTGGCTGACGCCGCCTGTGTGTTGATGGTCGTCACCAGCTTGATTGCCAATCTCAAGCGACACAGCGAGACGGATCGCCACACCATTTGGAAGTGTCTCGCGGCTGTTGGACGGTCGCACGCTGCGCTGGCGGAGCCGCTGGTGCCGGGTTTGCTTCGCATGGATCCCAGCTTTGCCACCGCCGAGCCTGTGATTGATGATCCGGCGTACGTGTCCGTGTTGGCGTTCATTTCGAATGCCGCCATGAGCCAAATCAACGGCGCGTCCTCGTCTGGCGCAGTTCTCGACATGCTGCCGCACCACACTCGGCGTCACTGCGACTTTCTTTCGGCAACCCATGGCGATGCGCTCTTCCCGCGCTTGCCCAATGACTTGACGTGCAGCATTTCTGTGGTGGACCAGGCCTTGCGTGCACCGCGAGAAGATGCCTTTTCGAAAGCAACCTCGTCGATTTGGTTTGGCGCGACCGCCAAGTCTACCCGAATTGGCAACTCTGAGCCTGTGGCTCTCGGGGCATGGCCCTTGGCCGGACCGCTCTCCTTGCTGATTCGTGTGGGCAGCAGCCAGGATCGCCGATTGCAGCAAGGCAACCTACAGATGTGTGCCACGCAGCTGGCAGCAATTGTTCGGCGGGAGTCTGCGTGGACTGGCCATGCGTGTTTGTTTCAGTCAGTCGTGGATGCGTTGTTGTCGTTGACCAAGCTGGTCGGGCCAGACTCTCCAGCTGCGCCAGTAGCGTCAGCAGCAGCAGCCGCACCAGCCGTTCGCGAGGCTGTGGACGTTTCGTGGAAGCAACCACCTTCTGTCGTGAAGAAACCTGCTGGTCGCCCGAGCGTGGACACGCGCCAACGACAGGGACGTGGATCTTTTGGCCGCTCCCTGCCGCTCGAGTCCAAGCAGGCTGATGTCTCTGTGGGTGCTGCGCTCTCCGTTCTGTCGGCTGCTGACCAGCTGAGCTTGCGCTTCCATGCGGACAACCATGTCGAGGAGCACATTTCAGTGGTGGCGTCGTTGCTGCGAGCGGCGGCGCTTGTGCACCTCTTCGTCACCACCGTGCTTGAGCGACTGTCTGCCTCCGGCTCTTCGCTCTCGATTGTCGTCTCAGACCTCCATGATGGCCCAGCCGGTACCGTCCCGCACTGGGTGATTGATGCAACGTTCGCTTTGCTCGGAGAAATCGTCGATACTCTGAACCAAGCCCCGCTGCTCCAGTCAAAGTCGGTCGCTCGTGTTGTCGTTCTGATTGAAAAGCATACAGCTCCATCGCAGTCTTCGTTCCCTCCACCGCCCGTTGGCATCCTGCTTCGTAATGTGGCCTCCGAGCTCGCATCGAAACACGCCGTTGCGGAATTGTGCACTGCCGTTTGGCAGTCCGTCGAGCAGCTGAGCAAGCACGTTCGTCACCAGCCAGCAACAGCCATCGCCAGACGCACCGCTGCTCTGCTCTCCCCCGTGGAAAACACGCACGAGAGGCCGTTCGAGTTTAATCCAGCGTTTCCGATTGAACTGCCTGTGGTTGCTGATGTCTCTCACGATGCCCTGTCCTTTGGCAGAATTGGCATTCAGGTACAGATGGTTTCTGTCTGTTGTTTCGGGGAGGACTGTGTGATACGTCTACAAGGGGGAGAGTTTGCTCAGCGGGATTCGGGTTTTGTTTGTTTGTTTGTTTGTTCGTTTTTTGACAAATTGACCCCCCAAACAGATCACCTTCCCTGACGGAAGCTGCAAGCTACATGTGCCGCTTGCGTCTGACTTTTCGCAGCAATCCGGGTCGTCCGCGGGTCGGTTGTCAACGAGCCTAGCTTTTACCCAACCGGCCTGGTCTGGTGAGATTTGTTGCGTGTTGCGAACGCTGAGGAATGGGGAATCCTGTGGTACTTGCCATCTGACTCGTCCCTGTCTGCACAGATCCTTTTGCATTGAAAATCCGCATCGTCCGACTCCATCCGAGCGATGAACAAACCCTTGCGCGACGAGGCGCCTGTGTGGACTTGTTCCGCTTTGCTTTGTCCACGCACCACGCAGTCACGACAGGAGAGGATGGGCTTTCTCTGTATGCCAGTGGCGCGAGTGTCCTATCACCGGTGACGCAGCTGACCGCGTCGAGTGCGACTCGACCGTCCTTGTAAAGCGAAAAAACCAAAGTTTGTAGAGTTGTTTCAAGTACGCCAATACCAGCGGCGCAACTCAGCGAACTTTTTTGTTGTTATGACGGTGTGAGTACTGTTAAATACAAATACACATCGGTTTGAAAAAGAAAAAAAAAAATACAAAATTGAACAGTTTTCTCCCTTGTGCAGACCAAAGGCGCATTTGCCCAACTTGCACCTCATCAAGTCGGTGTAGGAAAGCTGGTTAATCCGCTGCATTCAGGTTGCAGTGCCTTTGGCTCATGGGTTCGAATCCCATCGCCGACATGTCTCCTTTTTTTTTTGTTTGATTTTTTTTTTTTTTTTTTTTTTTTTGTGTGTTTTTTTTTTCCCCGTGTTCTCTGCTCGTTGGGACCGCAGAGCCTGCGGGTCCTGACATGGTACTCTAACTATGATGAGAAATCAACCAAACCTGCGTTCTGGGGACTTGCGGGGGTCGTTTCGAGGTTGGTCAAACAATCAAAACTGACAAGCAATCGTAAACACAAAAGTATTTGTTTTGACCGCGCGTTTGAGTCTTGAATTCTCATTGAAACAACTGCCAAGCCTTTCTCCTCGATTCTATCAACATAAACACATAGTACTACGAGCAGCAAAAAAAATTCTGGAGCGAAGGCAAAGTTCTGATGAACGGCGCACACCGACCGACGTCTCGAGTTTTGCGTGTCGGGACACGACCGTCTGGCCCGCAACTGACATTCCCAGACCTCTCAAACACAAAAAATCGCGAATAAAAACAAATATTCCATCCTACTATCATCAAGCGGACGGCGACTGAGCAGCTTTTCATGATAGATTTCGCGAGCAAACCGATACATTTGAAACGAGACAGTTTTGCACCTACAAGATTTCAAGCCGTCACTCAAACTTGTCCTGCATATATGCCTTTGCTTTCAACATTCCAGTTCAGATACGTCTTTCAGTCTTCTTGCTTGTAGTCTAATTTTATTGTACTGTGCTCCTTGCCGGATTGACGCATGCGAGTTATCCCGCCCCCCTCAACTCCTCTCACCACGCTGCAACAACTTGGCGAATGGAGCAGCATGTGGAATTGATGGAGGCAATTGCAAACAATTAAAATGTTAACCAAAACAACACCACAAGAAAATGTTCACACGAGAGCATTCGGGTCACGCAAAGAGGCGCGCTTCTCTTCTGGCTTGGATTCATCCTTGGCAGCAGCATCACCCTCCTTCTTGGAGACGAACGACGAGAGGAGATAGAAGACGGCGTCAACATCCAGCATGACACCGCCGACAATGCACCAGGTGGTTTCAATGAAGCACACGATGGACATCCTGCCAATCCATGCTCGCGGAAAGTCAGTCAAACACATTGTCCAAAGGCTCTGTGATTCCAACAGTGGCAGACGTTTCACGCCAAACTCGCTTACAAGGCATAGAGAATAAACTTGATCCAGCCACGAAGGTTGACAAGGAAAAAGTACGTCTTGTAAATGCAGCTTTCGGCATTGCAGCATGCACACTTTTGGAGCACCCACGAGCCTTCAATGATGGTCATCACAATGCCGGCGCAACTGTCAAAAGTGTGGCAGGATTCAGGAATGTGAGCGGTTTGCCTCAGTGAACAAAAAGGTAAGAAAAACAAACACCCCGATGTAGACAGACAGAGCGACACACACATGCACACAGACGCACGCGGAAGAATCCTTTTGCCGCCACCCACGATGATGCAGGTGGCTCGATTCTCGTGCGGTCAAGGAGGAAGTGAATTATTCGACACAGACTGTTGGAACTGCGAGTATGCGAACAAATCTCCACAACCAACCGACGTAGCCGCGCACTTTTCGGTCGTTGTCCCGGTGCTCTTCACCCCACCCCAAAAATTCAAAAATCCACATGCACGAGTTCACTCGCACCACACATGTCGTGCAGTAATATGCGGGCACGTTTGCTGATGCGACTTCGACGTCATGAAATCATTTCAAAACTCAAAATCGAACCAAAAAAAAAAAAAAGAAAAAAAAAGCCGCAGATTCGGTCCTTCAAAAGCGACACCCGAATGCAAAAGCTGTGTTCCGGCGTGAGTCATCATGGACCTGGGAGACGGCACATTCACGCTCAGACAATGTGGTCAGTGGAGCAGCGGGGCCGCTCTTTACCACGAGACGAGAACGAGAGCCCTGTTTTATTTTCATTTTTTTATTTTATTTTTTTTTTGGTTTTGAAGGCACTGCGGTATCGACTTACATTGTGTAGGCGCCAACGCCGAGGTGATCGCCGACCTCAGCAATGCCAGTGCCCCAGAGCGCTGTCGTCGATTGCAGAGTGTCAGAGCGAGACAGAAGAACAGTGAGTACAAAGAACCAAAATCCTCAAAAAAAAAAAAAAAAAAAAAAAAAAAGCGCCAAAGATCAAAATGGCTGGCTCTGCATTGAACAAGGGCTGTCAAAGGCAAAGGGACGCTGTGGGACACCCCACCCCCGCCTTCAGCTGTTGCATCGACAAGACAAAATGCCACGAGAAGCAAAAAAGCAGTGGAGTTGCTGCACTGACCAACGACGGTGAGGAGACCAAAGATCCGGGCGCAGATGCCAATGTGCCGCCAGAAAAAGTTGGAGTCTTGGGACGGCATCTCTCGTTTGCACGGAATGAAAATGAAGAATGGCCAAAGATGAAGTGCATTTGAATGTGGATGAAGAAGCAAAAAAGTCAGTGGAGCGAAACAGCAACAAATGGGACCAAGTGTACGAGTCGGGAGGGACGAGTCTAAACAATCTCAGTCCTTCTTAACGATGGCAGACGACGCACGGCTGAAGGCAAAGACTCCTGCCCTTCCTTTTGCAATTGTGCACTCAAATATACGCAACAGTTGTTCATAGCAATTGCTCATGCGCTTGTTGGCCTTTTGCTGCGTGTAGGGCAACGAGTGCTTCAACAAGAGCGACTTTGCAGGCGCGCTCGAGTGGTACGATCGCGGACTGGGACTGGCACCAACCACGGCCGTGCTGCACGCCAACCGCGCAATGGTCCTTCTGAAACTGGAGCGGTAACAAAAAGGGCCCCCCGCAATGCAAGAGAAACAGGAGACTGTTCAATCGTCACTGAGCTGCGTTTCGCAACATGTGTGTGCTGCTGCTGTGCTGCTCTTTGACAGATTCAAGGACGCCGAGGCGGCTTGCACCAGCTGTCTGGGCTGCGACCCTGCGTACATCAAGGCATTTTCGCGTCGTGCCACGGCGCGCCAGGCGCTCGGCTTGTCGGAACTGGCCAAGCAAGGTGGGCGTTTGCTCCTCGCGAAACACTCGCTTCGAATGTGCACCAGAACTCCTAACAGCCTGCACCGTTTCACACAGATCTGGAACAAGTGCTCAAGCTCGAACCCACAAACAAGTCTGCAAAGGAGGAGCTGCGAAAGCTCACCACCGGCGCAGCGAAATCGGCCTCGTCCGTCAAGTCACAGGAAAAGAAGGTCAGCACATCGACTCCCGCGCCAGCCAGCGCACCGACCGCCTCAGCTTCATCATCATCATCATCATCATCGTCATCATCAAAGGCTACACCTTCGGCAACAACCGCCACATCTACAGTGGCTGCTCCCTCATCGACAAAACCTGTGGGCATCTCGCTCGAAAAGGCGTCCCCTGTCGCCAAAGATGCCTACGCCGGGATTTCGGCTGCAGACAAGGCAAAGCTCGCGCCTCCACCTTCAATCGATGTTTTGGTTCACAAGGTCAGGCGGTATCCAGCGTGGCCAAAAGAGCGACTGTTATTTTGCAGCTGAACCTCGTTTTTTTGTTTGTTTGTGACCTTGTCTGCGTCTGTTAGGCACTGACCATCCTGAACACGTCCACAACACCCACACCGCTATCTGTTCCAACAAACTCGTACGAGTTTGAGCGGCAGTGGAAGGAGCTGAATCTCAAGGACGATGCTGCAGTCGGCACGTTCCTGAAGGTGAGCATTTGTGCAACTCATGATAGCTCTTGTTGACATGGACTCGTTGCAGCTGCGAGGCTCACAGGGTTGCATTGATTCTTCTGGCACAGCAAATCCCCATTCCGTCGTACTCGACCATTCTCGCAAACGTACTCACTGGCGACATCCTCCCGTTTGTCTTCCGCATGTTCCGCGAGCATTTCGTGTTAGTTTCTTCTCGTCCCAGCGAGCGGATTAACTGGGCTGTTCTTTCATTCACCCAGCACTCTCAACTCGATTGCCTCGTTTGTAGAACGGACGCCCGACAACTGTGTCAAGCAGTCGTAGCTCTTGCTTTCGTCAAACGATTTGACGTGGCATTCATGTTTCTGGAAGACGCTGACCGATCTGGTAAGTCGAACGTCAACGTCGAACGTCGAACGTCGAACGTCGAACGTCGAACGTTTGTCACCCACATCGAGCTCTCACCAACTTCTGGCGTTTGATCATTGCTTGGTGATTGTCTGGCTCTGGGGTGCAGTCATCCACAACCTTCTCCAAGTCCTCGTCGAGAAACACGCTGACCAGATTGCACAGTTGCCTGCCGGCCAATGGAAGCAGGCTTGCGCTCGTTACGAATTCAAGCTGCTGTAGTGGATACAGATTCCTTTTTTTCTTTTCGTTCAATAATGACAACTATCAACGCACACAAAAATTTCAACTTTTACAAGACGCTCGGCCTTTCGACATTGGCCTTTTCAAACAATCCCCGCTCATCAACCACAGGAAATTAAAACAAAACACACACAAAAAGCAACACGACGGCTGCGGAATTTCGCCCGCAATGACTACTGTAATACACAAAAACCCATGTCTCACCAGCGGGAGACGGTGCCTGCCTTTTCTCACATCCGAAGCACGGCGGGACTGGCGAGAGGGGAAAAGAGGTTTTCGTCCTGAACCGCTGGTCCGCCGGGGCTTGGGACGTTGACAGAGTGGAAGCGTTTCAGCAGCGTGGCTTCGAAACCATCCGCCGGCTTCTTCTTTCGGCTGATCTGTGGCGTGCCACCAGGTGACCGATGCAGCGTTGTTCGACGCAAGCCCTTGGCAGAAGCCTGCCCGATTTGCTCCATAAGGTTGGAGCGCGACGAGTTCCCGAGCGGGGTGCGTGTTGGCGTTGTTGTAACGTGATACTGATTGTGAGGACGGTTGCTTGACGATGCAAAGTTGACAACAGCGCGAGTGGCGGGCAAGGCGTGGCGGCGCGGAGGGGTCACCATCGGCGGCGGCGGCGGGGGTGGCGCTGGAATCGGGGTTTCTACGACTTGCACTTCAGGCTCGGCAGGTTTCTCAACCTGCGGCTCAACCCTCTTTGCCATGCTGATGATAGGCTGCAAAAACTCGAGGCACTTGACTTGAGTGTCAATCTTGTTGGCCTTGATTGGCACTTGAAGCCTGGGGTAGAGGACTTTCAGAACCTGACGAATCTCTGGGTGTTGCTGCAAGTCCACGTCTTCCAAAGCCATTCGCACGACGACGCTCAATGTCGCCAAGCATCCTTCCGTGTTTTGTCGGGATTTCTGTTTTCACAGTATGCTTTGTTAGGGGCGGGCGCACTTGGCAGCCCAGCGCGAAAACGAGGTTGGGGCTCACTCACCTCAACTGCTGCTTGGTCCAAGCGTGCGCGTTCTTCTTGCACAGCAATAAACTCGTTGGTCACGGCGGGATCCAGCATGGCATTGGGATCTAATAAACAAAAGTCACTCAGGTTTGCTAACGAGAAAAACAAACCCCCAAACAAACAAACTGTGCCTCATTGCAATGGTGTGGCTGCAACGCAAAACCAAATCTTACCACTCGAGAGCTGTTTCATCAGGATTGTTTGGAGCTCTTCCAGGCGCTGGTTCAGAATGGCACGCTTGGTCTCGGAGCTGGCGTTGCTCCAGGAATAGATGCTGGCATCGGATGGCGCTGGCCGCGTTGATTGTTGCGAGGGCATCGTGTTGCGGTGGGATGGTGTTGGTGATGAGTCACTGATGTCGTTGTTTGCACTGGCTTGTGGTAATATGCAGGGGTGGTGTGAGCGACTGCGTGGAGATGCAACTGCTGGAGCGAGCGGCGTTGCCAAGTCAAATCCGAAAGTTGAAACGGTTTCGCCAAATTCAATTTTTTTTGAAACGGCGTTGGCTGGAAACAAGGCCTTGTCACTGAGACGCAGAGTTCGCAATGACGCGGGGTTGCTCGGTTCAAGACAAGCGACGCTGGGCGTAGGGTTGGGAGTCAAAGGACGCGGGAGGGCGGCGCAAGTGCTCGGGCTGGATGGGCGCGACGGAAGGCGGCGGATTGGCAACGGCGTCAGCGAGCTGTTGGTCTGGCCGACTGGTTCGTCCTGAGCTGGAGTGACGACGACGGCAGCAGAGGCAATGTCAATGGCAGAGATGAGTGCGGAACTGACGATCCAGCGAACGAGAGCTGGAATCAGGCGCGGAGGGTGTGAGGCGGTAATGGGCTCCGTTTGCGAGCGAAACCAAAGCGAAACACCAAAAAACAAAAAAAAAAAAAAAAAAAAGGGGAAGTGAATCGTGATTTTCTCGTTTTTTGGAACAAGCCAAAAGCCACGATAAACTCAAACATCTCCATCGTGAAGCAGACGATGGAGCTGCAGGCGGGCAGCGGAGGCACAGCCACAGATGCTAGGAAAGCAAGGAGGCATTGTGGAGGAAGTTTTGTTTGCTCACTCCAAGTTCTGAGCTCAGAAACGAGTCGCTACTGTAGTTTCGTCACAGTAATCGTATCTATACAGCACAATCATAACAAAGTCATCTCGCACTGCAAGCACCGACAAATCCGCTTGAAACTGAAAGTCCTACTCATCAAAGCAATCAAGAAACACAAAAACAAACAAATCCACAAACTAATACCGCCGAGGTGGTGCACGAGCGCGGCGAAGGAGCGCCCAAAGAAGAGCACCGAGCACAATGACACCAATACCAACAAAGAGAATCAAATACAGCTCAGTGCCCTGAACCGTTTCGGGGAGAGCGAAAATGAGCACGCCGCAGATGGCAGAGTAGACACCCGTAGCAAAAGTCATGATGCGCCAAATGTTGATAAACGGAATCGAACAAGGGGTACGCATCCGCATGGACGACGGGGCGAACGTTAGCCAAAATCCGGTGAGACACAGCATGACCAGCGCCGAGATTCCGCTGGCCAAGCAGCGTGTGAGCCCGCCTTGCGGAAGGAAGCTCGCGGCAACAATCATGATGCATTTCAACACACTCACGCTCATGAGGTACAGCTTGCTGTAGCGAACGTCCTTGCCATCGACGGCGGGCTCCATGAACATTGGCGAAATCATAATGGACAGGGGCACGTAGAACGAGTATGCAATCAGAGCAATGACTGCAAGCACGCTATGCGAGTCGTCCCAGCACACAGCGGTCGGGAAGGAGGTCAAGTACAGATGTACGGGTGGCGAGGCGGGAACAATCGCAGCAATCTCGTCCAGCGGCGCAGAGCAGGCGACCACGGCGAGCAATTTTTCCGTTACAAACAAAAACAGGCCGTCAGACAAAATTGCCGTGATGGAGGCGATTGCGGGAGAGACGTGCCGCGGGGTCCCGTGTCCGTACGCGATGGCGCCAACGAAAGAGTAAAACATGTAGTCACGCGCCGATTGCTTGACGTCGCGATTGACAAATGGCTCCTTGTTGTTTCCGTGAATATCAAAGAAGCGGCGCAGCACACCGTAGTGGAAGAGCTCGAGGGTGAACTGGTAGCAAAACACGAGCACAAGCGCAGCCACGACACCAATGGCCGCCCACACGGCAATTGTATGGGTGTCCACAGAGGCGACAGTGAGGTAGACGGATCGCTGGACTTTGGAGATTTCATCAAAGGCGGAGGAGTCTACAAGATTCAGGGTAACGTTGGCCAGATTGGTAGCCTCGAGCAGCACTTGGCTGGAGAGAAACGGGAAGAAGGAGATTTGGGCAAACTCGATGGCAAGCGTCAAGAGCACCATCCAGTTTGACAGCGAGGTGAGCTTGAATTGGCTCGTGGTGATGACTTGATTGGCGACCCTGCCGTCACCGCCAAGATTGTTGCCCAAACCCAAAACCTCCATATTTCGCGCAGAAAGCGAAGCTCCAGCTCGGACGGTTCCCATCAGTTGGAGAGCAATAATCACCAGGCAGTACAAGCCAATGGCCAGGTTGATGTACAGGACTGCGTCGTTTGGAGCGGTCCTGTCGATCGCGGCGGGAACAATAGCGTAGACAACAAGCGCTGGATAGCCGGCCAGCACAATGGCAACGGGGATGCTGCGAGCGAGGAGGTTGAGCAAGCGGACGGATCGGACAATGATTGTTTCGCGTTCAATCACCTCTTGACGTTGATTGAACTGCTTGGTGTCCGTTTCAATGTGTGTGGTTCGGATGACGAGAATAACAAAGAAGGCCGGGAGGATGATGACCAACAGGAAGGCGAGAAAGATGGCAAAGAAGAGCAGCAGCATGAGCGGTTGCCCCACAAAATTGAATACTTTGGTAGCAGTCGAAGGGCCGCGTGTGTACGCGTGGTACTGCGCAACAGCAGATGGGTTGCTGGCTTGAGATCCATTGGCCACGAGCGTCGAGCTCGAGCCAAAGTCCCGGGAGAAGCTGTTGGTTGAACTGGACGAGTTTTGCTTGGAGAGTTGTGGTGCCAGTAAATCATTCCCAGCGCCGCTGCTGCTGCTTGCCTCGGAATTGCCACGGTCAAGTGTATCGCGGTCCTCGCTCGGAGTGATGGCAATAGTCGGCACGTTTTCCTTCGTGGCCCGCTGCTGCATTTCAATGTCGCTTGCGGCTTGAGATTGCACCAGAGTCTTCTCCCCCGAGCAGAAGGCTGCCTCATCGTGTATTTGATCCAGCAGCTTAGCGACGGTGGCATGTGAGTCGCATGGCACCGTTGCAGCCATCGCGTAGCTCAGACCAAAGAACATGGTCTCGAGATCGGCGTACACGTTGTCGATCTTGGTGACCTTCTTGACCTCTTTCTTGACCTCGCGACGTCTAAATTGCTGCGCATCCACACTGGCAAGAGCGTCAAGAGACTCCAGCATAAGCCCCTCGTCCAATACGCTGCGTAAGGTCAAATCGTGCAATCTTCGGCGCTCCAACTCGCGCTCCCTCTCTTGATCCACTTCATCCACGACTCGTGCTGGTGCTGGTGCTGGTGCTGGTTCATCATCAAACAAGCCGTCCGCGCCGTATACTTCTTCTTCAAAGTCTTCCGCGGGAGCGGCAGTCTTTTGCTTCTGTGGTTCATCGTAAGGTCGTGCAGCAGCAGCAGCACCAGCAGCAGGAGCAGGCCGAGCAGGAGCAGCGGCAGGCCGAGCAGGCTCATCTCGTCTCATGTCGCCATCCCTCGTCTGGTCCTCTCGGTCCGGAATCTGAGCGCGCCCGGCTGCCGCCGGTGGTGGAGGAGGAGGAGGAGCAGGGCCAGCAGGAGCAGGAGGAGGAGGTCCAGCGTACGGAGCTATGGGTTTAACGGGCGCAGCAATTTCTGGCAAAATAATCGGCATGTCGATTTCCGCTGCCGCTCCGCGTGAATCAGCGATGTCCGCAAACAGGCCACGATTAAGCGCAGAGCCGGTGGGAGGTGGGCTTGCATCTTTTGCTTGTTTTCGACGCCTCTCTTTCTCGCTTTTCTTCGGTGAAACAGTGTCTTCCTCAGCTTCAAAGGAGGCAGACGACGAAGAATGTGGCATGGGTGACATTTGGCTTGCCAGTCGCGGCGGCAGTCGGGCACCGCGCGGGGTGCCGGGAGTTATCTTTGCTGCAGATTCCGACTTTTTCAAAAATCCAAACGACGACTTTCGCGCTGGCCTTGCGCGCGGAGTCTCGCTGTCGGGAATGTCGTGAAGCACCACGCGTTTCCGGTACGAGTCCTCGATGGTCGGGTCGTACGACTCCACAAAGACTCCCTGCATGTACATGACGCAGATGGCGGATTTACCCACACCTAAATCAAGGAATAGTATTCAGATTGTTGTTGACGATGAAGATGCAGAAGATGATGAGTGGGTGGGTGGGGGAGAGAAAAAGAAACAAAAGTTTGAGAGTGAGTCAGTCAAAAAATGAGAATGGCGAGGGATCTCCTCCCAAAACAAACAATGCAGCCTGCTTGTCACGTACCACCACTGCCCAAAAGAACCACCGTGTAGACGCTTGAACGGCCCATCTCTCGGAAGAGGGTCAGGAATAGATCGGAAACGAACTGGTTTTGCTTGGCAGAAACTTCAATGAACGGCATGTTCCACGACTCTGCGTAAGCGCGACCCTCCTCGAACGAGACCACGCGTTCGCTGGCAAGATCCAACTTGTTGCCGACGAGAATCTAGCCCCACCCAGACGACCAAGAAAAACAGCACAGCTTGAGGAATTTTACAAAACCAAGCAGCACTGCATAAGGAAGAAGCTTTTTGGTCCATACCATCGGAACAGCCTCGGCATCCTTCATCCGGAAGATGGTGACGCAAAGCTCCTCGATCGCTCGGAACGACGCGCGGTCGGTGATGCTGTACACGAGCACAAATCCTTTGCCATTTCGGACGTACTGACGTTGCACCCGAAATACAACCAAAAGGTTCAAAACAATCACGAAAATTCCATTTGGAAGGGTGAGATTTGACGGGGGCGCTGTCAAAAAGCAGGGGCTGGATTGTGCAAGCAGTCCACAAAGCAGCAGCCACTCGAGTGCGGCAGTGGAGATGGATTACGATGGTATTTGTGTGAGAGTGAGTGTGAGCGAGTGGGGTGACCTCTTGCAGGTGTGCATTGGGAGGGAGGTTTTTGGATTTTACAGACCCCCGAAAAACCACAACAGCGCAGCTCAGCGTGTCGATGCAACAAGCGAACGGCATCGTGCGAGACCGCCTGCTGTCACCAGCGAAGATTCGGCCCCTCTCTTTTCTCTCTTTCTTGCTCTCTGTGTGCGTGGAGAGCGGGGCTGCGTGCGTGTGGAGCCGTGAAGATCTACGCAAGCTTAACGTTGCTGAAGATCCATGTTCCTCAGGCCGGGAAGCGAAGCAAGAGGTCTCCACACGCACACACACATCCACACATACACACATACACACACATACATTGGTGTCGCGCATGGGCAGGTATCGCCCGTTCGCTGCTGACGTATGAATCGCTTTGAATTTCAATGCATGGAACATTGTTCCTCGTTCCTTTAGCGCAAGGCTTTTGTGCTGTGTGCGTGCGTGTGTGATGTGGGTGCTTCGATATTCGCCTTCTCTCTGATACCGAGCAAGCGAGCGAGCGAGCGACCGCAGCGGACCAGAAGGCGGGAACCACAGCAAAGCGAAATAGCACAGTTGCCAATGGATCTTGCTGCGAAATCCCGCCCCATTCAGCCATTCACTCACTCACGACGAGAGCGTGCTTGTGCAGAACGTGTGCGCACACACAAAAACTGGAACAGGCTGGGCTATAGTGACTGGGAGGCCCAGCAAGAGTGGAAGGAGCGCGCGGGGGGGGGGAATGTGGGGGTGGACGAATGGTGATGTCGTTTCGCATCGTTACCAAGTCCATCATGGAGGTGAACTGCTCTGTGCCCGCAGTGTCGATGATCTCGACAAGCGCCTGGTGCTGAGCAACAAGCAATCAATCACAAAGCAATCAATCACAAAGCACCAGACGCACGGCACAAAAGTGAGTTGAAATGAGCAACTACTGTACACACGGCGAAACGGGGAAACAAGCCTCAAACCTCAGTCATGATGAGAAACGGAACAAACAAGACTGAGTTGCAAAGGAGAATGCTTCATTGAAAGCACTCAGAAAACCCAAACGTCCGACTCTGTCTGGGAAACAAAACAAGTCTGAAATGCAGGTATTGGCCGGGCTCGAGCTGTTGTATGCACGACACCGAGAAGGCGAACATGCCGAAAAATACAACAACAAAACCAGAAAAAAAAAAAATAAAGTACCGATTCGCTTTCTGGTTGCTAAGCCTTCTGACTGCATGACTGTACTGCATGGCGATGGAGGAAACACATTCAAAGACGCGAGGACAACAACACAGGCACACTCAGCAACACACGGAAATAGTGACGTTGAAGAGCGCTGGAAAAATGGTTTACTCAAAAAGGGCGAAACCCATCTTTCAGCTTTAGTATGCAGGCACGCCCATCGCAAGATCTGGCGTGGAGGCGTGCCGGTTGGTTTAGTTCGCAATTGACCTCCCGGATCCAAGTAAACAGCCAGCCGACAATTTGGCATCATACAATGCTGGTGCTGGTGCTCGAAACAAGCGCCCACCCCCTCCTTCCTTCCTTTCTCCTCCTCCTCTCATTCCCCCACTAAATCACTGAATTCCTTGATCGATGCTGATCTGTACTGTCTATTCTACGCACTTCATCCAGCCTTCCCCACCTGACGCACAGTATCTTTTTTGGTTTCGTTTCCTGGTTTCGGATTCACTTTACATTTTTTTTTTTTTGTTTTTTGCGTGAATGCAAAGCGACGACGGCGTCAAGCTGCCGATTGGCGGCGTGCGCGTCACCTTCCCATTCCAGCCTTACCCTGCCCAGATTGCCATGATGAGCAGCGTATGTCGACTTCATGGCTTGGTTTTTCCAAACCTACGAGTTTATAGTTTATGCAGATTGAGTTGGTTGGTTTTTTTTTTTGGCGGGAAAAACCGAACTGAAACACTTTGTTGAGCTTTCCCCAATCATGCCTCGCGTGTTGGCAGCTGCGTCCCGCTCACGCATCTTGGTTGTCGCTGCTTGTCGATGCCTGCTCCCACTCCACTTTGCCCCCCGACAGGTCATCCGCGCGGTGGAGAAGCGGCAAAACGCGCTGATCGAGTCCGCGACGGGAACAGGCAAGTCGCTTGCAATGCTTTGCGCGTCGCTCTCGTGGCAGGCGGAATACGCGACCAGGATTGCCATCAAGGCTCGCGAGGCGTCTCTGGCTGCCAAGAATGCCCCCGGCCCGCCTGCCGTGCTGCTTGGCAGGTCGTCGTCGCCGTCGTCGACCGCGGTGGGCGAGAATCCCAATCCGCTGATCGTACCGCCGCCACGACATTCTGTGCTGGATGGTGAGGGGGCACCAGCACCACCACCTAGTTGCGGAAACGATCCCACCAGCACCTCGAACAATCGGTTGAAGGAAGCAACAGGGATGGCAGAGTCTGGTGGTGGCGCGAATGCGCGGCGCCGGCTCCAAGAAATCCAAGTGGACGACATTGACGACGACGACAACGACTTTATAGAATCGCCAGCCACACCAGCAACAGAGGGTGCAAGGTTGCGTCAGAGCAGCGGCCGATGGACCAAGCGTGCTCGGATGGACCACGTTCCCGAGGCCGTCAGCAATCGACGTATTTTTGCGCCAGTGGCTGTTTCACTTTCGGATCCGGATCCGCCGGCACTGTCCTTCTCGGCCATGTTCAATGACACTGACATGGTGCATGACGAGTCGGTGCCTCCTGACTCGGGTGCTGGCTACATGACGGGTATGCCACCCCCGAGCACCCCAGACACCAACCGCGTTCCGACCATTTTTTACGGCACTCGAACCCACAAGCAAATATCGCAGATGGTTCGCGAGCTCCGACGCTCAGGACAAACCAACGTCACCATGTGTGTGCTCGCAAGCCGTGACAAGACGTGCATTCATTCCAAGGTGGCGGCTTCCAGCCAAAAGAACGAACTGTGGTAGGTTGCGAGCTCTTCTTGTGGATTTCAATCCAAGAGGTTCCAAATCAAGAGGGAAGAGGGGGGGGGAGGAGGCGCTGCTGTGACAGAGGGTACAGGCGTCTCCACCATGGAAATTTGTACTCACTCTGCTTTTGATGGTGCCTGGCCTGTTTGGCGTCCCAACTCCCACCCAACTCCCACCCAACTCCCGCCTCTACCTTGAACAAAGCAAATCCGCCATTGAGACGCATGACTGTCGCTATTACCATAACGTAAAAACACTGACGCGTCATTCAGACTTCCGCGCCAATCAGCGCTTGGCCGTCTGGGACATTGAGGATTTGGTCGAGCTGGGCAAGAAAACGCGCTCGTGTCCCTATTTTGCCGCACGCGAGATGGTTGGCGAGGCCAACATTGTGTTTTGCCCGTACAATTATCTCGTCGATCCAGGTACGAACGTTACGGCCATTTGTTCAACAGGGCTGCACAAAGACGGCTGGTTCTTTTTTTTTTTTTTTCGCTTCTTGGAGTTGTTCGCTCGTGGTTGTAATCCGCCTGACTTGGACTTTGTCGCTCTCCTGCTTGAAAGTCATCCGCAAACAGATGGGCCTCAACATTAAAGACAGCATCATCATTTTGGATGAAGCGCACAACATCGAGGACGTGGCTCGAGAATCAATGAGCTTGACTGTTTCGCTTGAAGAGCTCGTTGACGCTGAGAACGAGACGGGCTCGCTTCGGCTGATGTGCTCGCCGGGCTGCAGGGAGTCCTTCGGGGACGTTGTGGCCATGGATACAGATGACGGAGGACCTGCCCAGCAGCGGCTCGCGACCCTTGAGCGCAGCTACTCGCAGCTGAACGATTTCCTATCTCGCTTGAACGCGTGGCTCCTGCTTCAGACCAATTCGCTGACTGAGGCTGTAGCTTTTGAAAAGGCCCAATCACGCTGGTCTGGCATGCAGGCGGTTGCAGTGCTGGAGCAGGCGGGCGTGACTGGAGCGTCCATCAAGCAGCTGTCGGCTGCGATAAACTCGACCAACGCTTCAGCGCGCGCGTCTGAGCAAACCACGAACGAGGCCGGACAGAAGGTGCAGATGCCCACGCCTTCGCCACAAACCGCAGCGCTCTTGGAGCGACTCCTGCTCATTATCGAAGCGCTGCTGGAAGACGGGAGTCGCGCTGCGAACGATTATGCCATGGTGATTTCGAAATCTGCAACAACAACAACAACAACGCACACAGATGCTCGGCCTGCGGCCTCTGTCCGAGGTAGCCGTCGCGACATGCAACGACGCCTTCTGCAACAAGAGCGCCAAGCGGCTGGGCTGAACATTGAGTACGAGGCTGCTGAAGCGGACCAGCCGCCAACCAGCCACATTCCGGGGAACAGAGACGGTCGACCGTCTCGAAGCAGCAAGGCCTGGTCGTTCTCCCTGAACTTTTGGTGCCTCAATCCTGGTGTAGGCTTTCGCAGTTTGTCCAAGGCTCGAAGCGTCATTTTGACCAGCGGCACACTCTCACCTATGACCTCGTTCGCTTCGGAGCTCCAAACCGAGTTTGCCGTTCGCATGGAAGGCAAGCATCAGGTAGATCCCAGCCAGCTATGGGTGGGCGCTGTCGGTGTTGGTCCAAGCGGAACGGAGCTCAGCGGCGTGTACAAGAGCGCCGAAACGTTCAGCTATCAGGACGAGGTCGGCCAGCTCGTGTTGCGCGTGTGTCGAACCGTGCCTCACGGTGTCCTGTGCTTTTTCCCGTCCTATTCCCTCTTGGAAAAAATGACCTTGCGGTGGCGCGACACTGGTGTTTGGCAGCAACTGGCTGCTCAGAAGACCATGTTTGTCGAGCCCAAGTCGGCCGACAAAGCTGCGTTTGAGGAAATGATGCAGCGTTACCAGAGCGTGATTGAGCGAGGCAAATCGCAGTCCCCAGCCGGAGCTCATGGAAACAAGTCTGGCAGCAGTGCCAGCTCGGGCGCTTCAGCATCAACCAAGCCGCCTCGCTCGGCCTTTACCTCTTTCTTTACATTGCAGCAAAAGGCCGTTGCCGGATCGCGCACAAGTAAACTCGGCACCCAGAAAAAGGGTGCTGCGAATGCGGACACCTCAAGTCCCACCACTGGAAATGGCGCCTTGCTTCTCGGCGTGTGTCGCGGCAAAATCAGCGAAGGCATCGACTTTGCCGATGACCAAGCGCGTGCCGTTATTATTGTGAGCATCCCCTTTCCGAATTACACCGACCCGCAGGTCGAACTGAAGCGGTTGCACAACGACCAGCGTGTCAAACAAGGACTTCTCGCGGGCAAGGATTGGTACGAAATCCAAGCGTTTCGCGCCGTCAACCAAGCCGTTGGGCGGTGCATTCGGCACAAGGCAGACTGGGGAGCCATCATTTTCGCCGACCAACGTTTCTCGGCCAACGATCGGCTGCATGGATCGCTGTCGTCGTGGGTTCGCCACAATCTCAAGACGTACAAGCAGTTTGATCCGATGATGCAGTCTCTCGCGAGCTTTATGGACTATCGCGCTCAGCTGGCCTTGGTCTCGGGGAAGGACGCTGCAGAGGCACCCTCGTCTGCCGTCGCACCGTCCGCGTTCGTAGCCAAGTCCGAAGTTGTTGGGTCGGTCGACTCTCAAGCTGCTGTTCCAACCATCCAACTGTCTGTGCCTATTGTAGCGCCACTTGTGCATCCGAACGACGCCTTGCCAAGAAGAACGACGCAAGCAATCGTCGTTGGCTCCCATCCAGCAGCGACTCCGGTCGGGATCAGTCCCATCCACACGCGGCATGTCCCACCACCCAAGTCAACCTTCGCCTCAACGAGTGCGGAGAGCAATGCCGCGAGACTTTCACCAACAGCAAGAAGCACATCGCCCGCTGCCGTACCGCCCGCCGCGACGACAAATCCCGAAGCATTGCCAGTGGAGGATGAGGACTTTGATCTCCAAGACGACTTTGATTTTGATTTAAACTTGTCTCAACTTGGCTCGGCGTCAGCGGAGACCTCTGGCGTTGCCGACACGCCTGTGTGCAGCCATTCGCCTGACGCATTGGTCGCTGCTCAAAGCTGTTGTAGTGGCCAGATTCTGAACGCCGAAGGCCCGTCCAGCGGAGCATTGCAAAGCGAGGCGGTCGACGAAGGTGCTGCAGGATCCCTGGACGTTAGTAGCGAGCGCGCGACACCGGGTCCCGAGCGTGCCATCTGCCTACGATGTCAAAAGTGCGGCGGCATAGTCGATCGCACGTTTCTGGAGCCCTTCCCATCTGCTCTTCTCGACGCAGGGCAGGCCGGGTCGGTCGAAGTGCCGCATTTGCGAAAACAGCTCGTCCGGATACTCTCGCAGTCGGCATGCTGCATCGAACTTCCGCCCCAGTGGAAGCAAGCGATGCCGGCGCTGCACCTACTCGCGCCAGAGTGTTTTCAGCCCGACATGGAGCAGTCGGTCTGGTGTTTGGCAATGCAAAGCATGAGCGATGCGTTGCAACCAGCGCAAGGCACGCCCGCTTCGCGCGTTCGTCTGAACAGCTCATTTGATGCCCGCACCGGCCAGTGCATGGCCTTGCTCGAATGCCGTCACTGCGTCGACGGGCTCGGTGTGAGCACGATTGTTGGTGTCTGGATCATGGACTTGTGCGGAAATGCCGCCAGCAGCTCGGATTCGACCTCCAACGTCAAGGCTTGGCCTGGTGTTGCTGTTCTCTCCAACATTCCCATCAGAATGCAAGTGTTGGATGCATAGTGGACACGGAGTTTGCACGTTGTCAAAAAAGCATGTCAAAGTACAATGTGTATCAATTTGCGACTCTGTCTCACCGCTTTCACCCTTGCGCAACATGCTTCACAATAAAACGAAAAAAAGGAGCAAAGCGAAAAACGCCAAACCAGTCAACAAAAACTTTGCAACAACACACAAACAAAACAATGACCCAACGTGTTTGAGAAAATGTAGTATTTAAGACAGTACAATGCAACACACGCAACATCCAGCGCGAAAACAAGAGACAAAGCTCATGCCGTGTACGCATACTGCCTTGCCAACCAGAGTCCGAGGTCAGAGAAGGAAAATAAGGGTTAACAAATTTATTTCTTCTTGCGGAAGTTGGACTTCTTGATGGGCCTGGCACCGCCGAGGAGGACACCATCGAACTTCTTCTGGAACCACTTCATGGTCTCAGCCTTGGAGATGCGGTGCGAAACGCCGACGCGAGCGGGGGTGCGGCGCTTCTTGTTGATGTTCTGGCCGGGGCGGCCCATGACAATGTAGAAGTCCATGCCATAAATGCCGATCGAGGGATCGTACTTGAGGCCGAGATCGATGTGCTCCTCAATACCGAAGCCGAAGTTGCCGGTGTCGGAGAAGTTGTAACGGCGAAGCTCAAACTCCTTGACCTTGAGGCCCTTCTCGAGAATGTCGAGGGCCTGGGGACCGCGGACGGTGGCGTAGACGGCAATCTTTTCGTTGCGGCGAATGCTGAACGAGCGGATGGTGTAGCGGGCCTTCGAGAAGACGGGGGTCTGACCGGTAAGCTGCTCGAGCACCTTGGCGGCGCGGGTGAGACGATCACCAGACTCGCCGACGCAGATGCTGACGACGAGCTTCTCGATGCGGAGCTCACGCATGGGGTTGACCTTCTCGGCAACCGCCTCAGTGGCCTTAGGCTGTCAGAAGGGAAGGGAAGGGAAAGGGGCAAGAAGGGAGCAACGACAAAAAGCACCAAAACAAAAAACCAAAAAACCAAAAGTGAGATTCAAAGCGAGACAGCGAGCGAGCGGGTTTGGGTAAAGCCAGGAATGAAAGAGGCTGACGGAGTGACAGCGGTGCCGAACACGAGACGGGCGCGGAGGAGAGTCCGGAAGGCCGACAGGGTATCAAAACGAAGGAAAGGGGGACAAGGGTTTGGTTGAATCGTTCCAACTCCAACCGCCCGTCTCTCGATCGGCCAGCCAGCCCATCCCGCAACCCAGCCCCGCCGCTCCCAAGCGAATCCGACAGATCAGATAAGATACCAACGGATTGAGCCACGCAAGCGGATGGAGGCGACGCGGATTGCGAGATGGCGAGGGCTCGAAGGGAGGCGCAGAGGCCAAGTCGCGGCAGCCAAGTTTCCCCCCTTCACTTTTGCCTGTCGCTTCCGCCCGTTGCTGCAGCCCTCGCCCCTTCACGAGCCGCACAAACACCATGCCGGATAGTCGAAAGCGTGACATGGCACCCAGAGAGGACCAGGCGGCCGAAAGCCGTGGGGGGAAGCGGTCGAATGTATTTTTTTTTTTTTTTTTTTTTTGCGTCTCTTACAGCGACAGCAGCCATTGGAATAAAACAAGAGAGGACGAGCTTTGGATTATTTTGGCGATGCTTTCATTCGTTCGAAATTCAACAAAAAAGGATGGAGACCAGGTTCACCAAAATGGCACTCATAGATTACGTACACTCATGACTGGAGGGGTGGGGGAAAGGGGTGGGGAGGAGTTGGTTTTTTTTTGGGAACAACAATGAAAGCTTCTTTTTGAAAGGATGTTTAGGCTCACATGGAGAAAATATTGATAATCTTGCCCTGGCGGAGAGCATCAGCTGCAGAACACAAGCGAGGTTTGTGTTTCAGGCAAAAGCAGCACAAAGTTGGTGGTGAGAAAACAGGGGGAGCGCGCGAACGAACGAACAGGACAACTCACCTTCTTGCTCGCCGAGCGTTCTCGCAGTCTCCATGAGAGCTTGAAGGTGAGATGCCAGTTTCTCTGGCGTGTAACTCGCGCATTCTATCAAAGACCCGAGGAAGGGGGCGGGGGAGAGATGGTGATGAGCAGGAGAAGCCGCACAATTTCAGAGTTGGACCCCATTTCGTACCTGCAATCCACCCTTGGTCGGGCGAATCGATGATTTGGTAGATTTGCGGAGCAATTCGCGGCGGAGTGTTGAGCTTGAGCGCCAGTTGGGCGACTTCGTCCTCTATTCCCACAAAAGAAAGAAAGCAAGAAAGAAAGAAAGAAAAAACAAAAAAGAAGAATCGCAGACATGTAAGTGCAAATGGTGCAGCGTTCAAAAGGGAAAAATACAATAAAATACAGAAGGATGAACAAAAAGGACGACAACATCACCAAAATCGGAATGTTGAGATGCAATGAAAGCGAAATCAAACAAAAGTGTTCGGCTGAAGAAGGGAATGAAAAAAATGACGAATGAGGAAAAAAAAAGACCGGCGAGATGCAGCCCCAAAAGCGAGCCCAAGCCCATGTGCAACGAGAGGAAGGACAAGCGCAAGGAGGGAAACGCACCGGTGTAGATATCGATGGCGGGGCGTGGGATGGAGGCGCTCGATGACGCGAAACCACGGCTGCTGGCGCCATTCCCGAGCAGGGCGCCAAGCTTGGCTGGAGAGGCCGTCCAACTTGGACGAGCAGGAGTGTGCGATAGCGTTGTGGATGCCGTCCCACGCGACGCTGGTGCCGACGAGGACGAGGAAGCGGAGGACGTGGAGGAACTGGACATTGTGGACATTGGGGTTGAATCGGTCGGAGAAGAGTCGGCGTTGACATGCGCTGTGGCGGACGCATTGTCAGCGTCGGGCGTCTCGGCGACGGCAGCTGCAGCAGCGGCATCATCGGTCGTGGCCATGGCCATGGCGTCGTCAGTGGCGGCGGCGTCAGAGTGGCCATTGGGCTCGTCGGTGTGCGCCGAGTCGATCGCGGTGACGGAGGCTGCTGCTGGGTGGCTGTCGGTGCGCCGGCGGCGGATGCTTGCAGCGCTGGTGGTGCTGTCGTTGGTGTTGTTGCTGGTAGATGTACTGGGGGTGAGGACGGGGGGCTCGCCGACAAGCTGGTCGGACTGCGCGCTTTCTTCGAGCGGGCGCTTTGCGGCAAGACGCGATCGTTTCGGCGAAGTCAGAAGACGCTGTGTCTGCTCATTCTCCACCGCATCCCGGTCCTCGTAGTGTGAGGCAAACCCCGTGCCAGGATGGCTGCCAGAGTGCGAGAGCTGAGCCACCTCCATTTTTGAACAAAAAGATGCTGTGGCGCTCGACAAATAGGAGCACCAAAAAAAAAAAAAAAAAAAGTATTTGAATGGAAAATCAAAGGAAAGGAGAAAAAAAAAAAAAAAAAAAAAAAGGTCAAAGCGGAGTCTGCCACTGATGAAAAGACGGACTAGATGCAACGTGAAACCAAAAAAAGCAAGACGTGAGGAGAAGAACAAGTAGCGCGAATGACGAGAAGCACCAAAGCCAGCCGGAATTTCAAACACGAGCGCAGGATTTCGCTCGATTTGCTGAGTTTCGGGTTGTGACGCAAGCGTCTCTGTGCGTCTGTTTTTTTTGTTTTGGTTTCTGTCCTTGCGAAGAGTATGGGGCTTTTTTCCTGACTGGTTGATGGTCTGGCGTTGTCTGTGATTGTATTTGGAATCCCAATCATGGTGCAGTCATTCTATCCGTTCTTTTTTTTTTTTTTTTTTTTTTTTTTTGTAAGTTGCAAAAGATCCACTTTGTTTTTTTTTGTTGTTCACTCTTCCGCGCGCACAATTCTTTCCGAGGCGACATGCAAGATCGATCTGTGCTCTGATCTGACACGCAGCACCGCCCTCTCTTCCACCCCTTCCCTGCGCTTTCTTCGCCGTGATGCTTGCAAGAGAGGTTTTTCTATTTTTTTTTTTTTTTTTTTTTTTTGGCTTGATTGTTGCAAGTTTTTGGACTCGTTCCGGTTTGCAGACTGCTTCCTCCCCATTGGCAACCCGGCTGCTTTCCCCTCTTTGACATCCATCCACTCTCCACCGCCGTTGCCTCGTCGGTCCCATCCACCAGCATCGCACCTGGATGCGAGATCTCGTACTTTCCCCGTTCAACCTATTTGTTTTATTTTATTTTGTGATTTATTGTTTTTTTTTTTTTTCTGTGAGTTGCGTTTGCGCCCGCGTCGCTGAGTTTGCGGCGATGCACCCCATCCCCGTTGGTGTGGTTGCCTTTGCTGTATTCACGCGCCTCGCTTGCGTCGTGGACATCGTCGCTGCTCTTTTCTCCGACGCTGATCGCCTTGTCATCATTTGGCCCGCTTTTTTTTTTTCTTTTTCTTTTCCATTGTTTTTTTTTTTTTCCATCCGATTGTTGATTTTTCCATTGTTTTTTTTTTTTTTTTTTTTTTCCCCCAATTCACTCGATTTGTCTCACTCACTTTCCGATTGCGCTGTGCTTGCGTTTCCCTTGCTTGCAGAAACCTTTCTTCTCTTTGAAGCACAATGTCGAGGCGTGGACTGTCGGCGCGTGGAGGCGCGTCGCGAGGTGCTCGCGGTGGCTTTTCCTCTACCGCGTCCATCATGACTGCGCTGACGGTGAATGCTCAGCCGTCTGCAGCCGCTTCTTCGCAGGCAGCGTCTTCGTCTTTGTCAGTGACTGCTCCCGGTCTCTCAGCGGCGCCAGGCAATCCGTCCTCTCTTCCCAGCTTTGCTGCGTTGCCCGCCATTCTGGACACCAGTGAGTCGTCGTCTGTTTTGATTTTGGGCTTTTTGTATCTTGCGTTTCTGTGTTCCATTTCGCTCATCTGCATCCGAATCGCATCTGCATCTCGCCCGCAACTCTCACTCACTCACACAGGCTCGTGCATGCACCTCATCAGCACGCCCACTGGAACTGGAAGCGACGTCAAACCGCCAGAACTGATGAACGCGTACTCGTCGCAGACGGCATTCGTGGTGGAGGGTGTTGATCCAACGCGCGTTGCGCAAGCGTGTCTGGGGAATCGCTTCACTGCCCTTCTTGTGGACGGGGCCATCTGCATCGCCGCGACCTTTGCGAGCGTGTACAACTCGAGCTCAACCGCAAAAGTCAACCGCACCATTGATGCCAAACACACCCACTGGTGGCGCCCGACAAGTGACGGTGTTGCGAGCGTTGCCGGTGGCGCGTTCGTCGCCATTTCAGCAATGCACTCTGACTTGGTGGCGCTGGGCCGCGATGGACTGCTGTACCACTGGACGTGGCCCGCGGCCGGCGACGTGGCGCAGACGGGCGAGCCCTCGTACGTTCGTGGCGTGCATCCCCGCATGGATTGGCTTGGCCTTGCCGTGGCGGATGGCGAGAAGCTGACCATGCTCGCGTCCAGCTTTTTCCGAGCGACAGTCGTCTCCTCCACCGGGAGAGTTGCTACGTGGGCGGACACACGCTTGCACATGTATGCCGATGACCTTGGTGGTGGCACCGAGTCCATCTTTGCGCGACTCGAGCACACGCTCGGGTCGTTCGGCGACCAGACCAGCAAGCTTGCGCAGGCCAGCGCCGAGGAGACTCCCGCGCGCGTTCCCGTCAATTTTGCGGACGACCCCATTGCGCAAGTCGCAGTCACGGAGCTTGCAACCTGCGTGCTCACCCAAGGCGGCTGCACCTACTGGTGGGGATTGCTCGGGAATCCCAGCGAATCGCTGGACGTGTTGCGCACGCGCGTCAAGTCGACCACCGCTGCGTCGACTTCCAGCAAAGACTCGGAGACGACAGTGAAAGTTGGCGATGCAATTCTGGTCAAGAAGGACGCGTCGCGTCAAAACGATTCCGCCACTGCTGCGCCCACGCGTGTGCTTGCCTTCAGGTGCTCCCGAGGTGTTCCGCGGCTTGGCCTGTTGCAGTCGGCCACGCGGTCTGCCAGCGGAAACTACGTGTTCAAGCCGCTGACTTCCCAGTCGCTCAAGCAAGTCGTTGCTGCATCTTCGACGGTAGATGCGGTTCCTTCTGCCGACACGAGCGCAGCAAGTGCACCGTCCGCCAACACGACCTCAGAAGAAGCCTCGGCTGCTCCGACCGCTCGACGAGGCCTCGTCACTGCGACGAGCGTGGTTGACGATGACAGCCCCATGCAACCTCCATCGCCCCCTACGGAACTTGAGGTTCCGACCTCAACTGATAACAGCAGCAGCAGCAACAACAACAACAACAGCAACAATGCCAACACCAACGCTCCGCAGAGCGCCTTTGGCGGAACATTCACCGGCTTTGGAAACTCGAGCAACACTGGCTTTGGTAGCTCGAGCACGGGCTTTGGGAGCTCGAGCACGGGCTTTGGTAGCTCGAACACCGGCTTTGGGAGCTCGGGCGGTAGTCTTTTTGGCAACTCGGGCAACACTGGCTTTGGCAGCTCGGGCAACACTGGCTTTGGTAGCGGCGGCGGCGGCCTCTTTGGCAACACCAATACCAACACTGGCGGCGGCCTCTTTGGCAACACCAATACCAACACTGGAGGCGGCTTGTTTGGCAACGCCAATACCAACACTGGAGGCGGCTTGTTTGGCAACGCAAATACCAACACTGGTAGCAGCCTCTTTGGCAACACCAATACCAGTTCTGGCGGTGGTTTTAGCAGTGCAGGCACGACAGGCTTTATTGTGAACAACAACAACAACAACAACAGCGGCCCTCGCTTTGGCTCTACCACCTTTGGTAGCGGCAGCGGTGGTGGTCTGTTTGGCGCTCCTGCCGGCACTTCTACATTTGGTTCTACTCCTGCTCCTTCGTTTGGCGGTGGCTTTGGCACCACCAGTACCGGCTTTGGCACCACCAGTACCGGCTTTGGCACCACCAGTACCGGCTTTGGCGGCAACACGAGCACTGGCTTTGGTAGCAGCAGCAGCGGCGGTCTGTTTGGCGCTCCTGCCACGACGACATTTGGCAGTGGCTTTGGCACCACTAGCACTGGCTTTGGCACCACTAGCACTGGCTTTGGCACCAGCTCTGGCTCTGGCTTTGGTACCAGCTCTGGCTCTGGGTTTGGCACGAGCTCTGGGTTTGGCACGAGCTCTGGGTTTGGCACCACCAGCTCTGGCTTTGGCACTACTAGCTCTGGCTTTGGAAGCGCCGCCCCAGCCGCTGGCAATGCCGGAAGCGCCTCGACTACCGAACCTTCTTCCGCCTCACCCGCACCTGCCCCTGCACCTGCGGCAGGCGGCAGCAGCAGCAGCGGCACCACCTCTTCGAGCAGCGACTCGACGAACAACGAGGACTGGGACGAGAAGAGCTTTGTGTTTGTCACGCGAGGTGTGCACGCACCTCCCAAGCCTTTGGGTGAGGTGATTGCCATCGACGCGGCGTTTGCGGTCGTCCGGCCGTTCCCCGCCGAGGATTCGCCCTCGCCCGCGTCTGACGCCGCCAGTGCCAGCAATCTCCGAGTGTTCAAGACCAGCGAGATTGTTTCGGTGCAGTCGTCTACGCTTCACAGCGATGCTGAGCTGGTGATTGACAGGATTTTCGAACTCATTCAACCCTACCCGGTGGCGGTGCCCGAGCCCGTGTACAATCCCGATTCTGCTTCGGCCCATCACCGTGTGACGTCTGTTGCGGTCGACTGGTCTGGCATTTATCTTCTTCGCACGGCTGAGGACGGTCGCAGCTCGTGTGTCTTGTACAAGTCGGCCGACGCCCGCAACCCTTCCAAGGTCAGCGAGACGCAGGCCGAGAAGTACTCTTGCCGTGTCTGCAGCAAGCGGTTTTCCTCTCGCAACCAGCTCTTCCAGCACATTGAGGTCTCCAACCACAAGGCTGATGCGAAGCGTGATGCGGGGCTGCCGTCCAAGCGCGCTCCCAAGGAGCCCGCTGACCGTATCGTGATTGGCCCGAGTCATACCATCTTTGCGCGTGGGCTTGACGGATTCCTGCACGGGTTTGGTGCCGACGGCTCGCGGGCGTGGAACAGCGCGGATTCTGCTTCGTGTCCACCCACGCGGTTTTGCACTGGTGTTGGCTACCTTGGTGGTGGCTACGTCTTGTTGATGCTTCAGCAGCAACGCCTGCTGCCTGCGATTCGCGCCGATGACACTGAGCAAGTCTCGACCTTGCTCAAGGCCATCCAGAGCGGTGCAGAGCTTGAGGCGATGCTGTCTGAGCGCGCGCCGTCTAATCGCAATGTGCTTCATTTGTGCGTCAGCGTCCAAATGGCACACACCATCCTCAGTGCGCCGCACCTGTCGGACGAGTTTGCTCGGACTCTACTGTTCGAGCGCGACAGCAATGGCACCACCCCTCTCGAAGCAGCGCTGTGGGATGACCGTCTGGCACTGGCTCCCTTGTTGCTGCGTTACATGACTCGCTCGTTGAACTCGGTCACGACGTCAGACCAGCAGGTCGCCCTGGCTGGTACCTTGAGCGACTCCCTCGTTGCCCTTCTCGAGGTGGAGCGGTCGAAGGCTATTCTTGACAAGGTCGTGACTGGCGCCAATGCTGCTGCTGCTGCTCCTTCGACCACAACAACAACAACAACAACAACAACAGGAGCTGCCGCTTCGTCGTCCGAAGCATCCGCATCTCCAGACGAGTTCACTTGGGCGGCAGGCCAGCCACTCGCTGCTGACAAGTTCGTCACGTTGCACGGCGCCAAGCATGACAATTCGAGGCTCGAGTTTGGGTTTCCAGCTGGCGCGGCGACTTCTTCGGCTCCTGCTGAAGCTGTCGGAGCCATTTGGCTCAAGCGCCCGATGCAAGTCAAAGGCGGGTTTGAAGCAGACTTTACCGTGACGCTCCCGCGCAACGCTTCCAATGCCGACCCCGTCGTGCGAGGGTTTGCCTTCGTCCTTCAAACAGTTGGTCTCACTGCAGTGGGCGAAGGCTTCGACGGCATCGGGTATGATGGAATGCCCCAGAGCCTCGCAATCGACTTCCGGCCCGGTACGAGCCAGTCCTGGCTGGTGGCCATTCATTCCTGCTGGGGCAACCCGGCTGCCGACGAGCCCACCAACTCGGCCAGCCTTGCTTTTGCGCTCGCAGCGACGGCTACCGAGTTCACCACTGTGCCCAATATGGGCGACGGTTTGGCGCATGATGTGCACCTCACGCTTGAGGGAAGCACGCTGCGTGTGTACATTGATCGAAACACAAACCGCAACGCGGTGCTTTCTTGCGAGCTCAACGATCTTGTGTTGTCCTTCCTGGACCAACTCAATGGCGCCGCCCACGTTGGCTTTACCGTTGGCCACAATCGCAATCCCGGTGCAGTGGCCGGGTTTATCAGCGCTCTCAGCTTCAAGTCAACGTCCTCAAAGCCCTCCGCAGACTCAGCTTCCACTGGCCTGCCTAGCACGACGCCAGACACCAAAAAGTCATCACCGTCGGCTCCAATCCTTTGGGCTACCCCTGGCGCTGATCTTTTCGATGTCGACCTGGACGCAATGCTCGATCCCACACTTCTCATGTCGGGCGAGCCAACCCAAGCGACTCGACCTCTGTTTGCGGCGTCGGCGTTTTCGCTGTTTCCCACCCAAAAGACCGAGGCTCCTGTTCCTGTTGCGCGATTTGCATTCGGTTTCACCACCGACGCTTCCAAATCGGCTGCGTCTTCCGCCCAAGCTCCGTCAGAGGCGTCTTCGACGGACCAGACTGGCGCCCAGGCGGCGCTGAAAAGCAGCGGCAACAGCGGCACCAGCTCCGCCACGACAACAACCAGTACCACCACGCTGCGCAACGTGCCCGCCTTCACCGCGTTCGCCCTCGCGCAGTCGCCTCCGCTCTCCAGCATCACCGCAGAGACGTTGGTGCCGGTCGCCGTGTTGGCTGCCGTGCGAGATGCGGCCCAGCCTTCGGGCAAGACGGCGTCCAGCCTCCCTCTGGGCCAGGTGGCCTCCGTCGTGCGCTTTGTGTTGGCGTTGCAACCAGAGCACACAGACTCGATTGAGTCCGCCACAGTGCCTCTGGGACTGATTCTCAAGAAAGAAGTAGCCCGCCGCGTGGTTACAATCATGTCGATCAAGCACAGTTTGACGTCGCTGGTTGACTTTATGCTCGACCATCAGCCGGCCTTGCTGTATCGATCTGTTTCCAGTGTCCACTTTGGCACCAAGGCAATCTCGACCTCGACCGTGACGCCATTCTTGCATGCGATCAAGTGCCAAAACACACCCCTCGCTCTTCGTGTGTTGCACAAGTTTGAGGAGCAGGGCGACACGCACTTGCGCCACCTGCTGACCACCCCGGACGATGAAGGCAATGGAGCTTTGCACCATCTCCTGGACAGCATCCATCCTGGCGCTTCCCCGCTTTTGGATGTCATTGTTCGCCTTGGTCTGACAACCGTGCCCGAGTGTCTGACACGTGTGAACGGCAAGTCGCTGACGCCTTTCACGAACGCGCTTGACGCACCGATGGATGCCTCTGCAGCCCAGTTGCTTGCCGCCGTGCGAAAGCAGGTGCAAGAGCTCCTGGCTGCTGGCTCGGCGAGCAGTCGCGTGTCCCTGTTGTCTCGAGTCGAGTCCTTTGTGTCCGACTCGACCAAGACCGACGACGGGATGCTTTTGCACCGCATCATGGCCAACACGGGTCAGTTTGGGAGCAGCGTCAGCAGCTACCTCAGTGCCAACCCAATCGAGCCCGCAACACACACGGTGCAGCGTCTCTTGCAGCTGAATTGGTGCACCTTCCCGGCCACTGGATCGCAGTTCAAGAACCAGTACTACTACGTTTGCCACGACTGCAAGCCTCGTGCGCAGAACGGCAGCAGCATTCTGGCTGCATGCGAAGTTTGCATTCTCACCTGCCACAAGGGCCATCGCGTTTCCGAGGAGCTTGTTGGCGACTTTTTCTGCGACTGTGGCGCAAATGCGCTGCCCTCGCCTTGCTGCAGCCTGCTCCCCAGCCACGCGAGCCGTTCTGGTGCAACTGCTGCTTCGCGACTTGCGCTCACGGACGATCTCATCAAGTTTTGCCTCGAGTTTGTGCCGACGACGCTCAGTCAGCTTGATGACAACAAGATGACTCCCTTCCTTCGCGCCATCTACAGCGGCGGCCTCGACCCTGCGCTGAAGCTCCTCGAGCTGATTGAAGCGCGGCCCGACGCCAAGGCGTTGGCGCAGCAGTGCATCATTCCATCCGACTGGCGTGGCAACTCGCCTTTGCATTTGCTTGCCGCCTTTGCATCGCACACGAGCTATCCCTCTGGCGCGGTCTTCAAGGCTGTGGTTGGCAAGCTGGTCGCGTTGCACCCTCCGTTGCTCACCCAGCTCAACTTGACGTGCGAAACGCCTCTGCACGTCTTTTTGCAGTCGTCGCTGGTCAAATCGACCTGCTCGTTGGGTTCCACAAGCGGACCTGCCCCGGCCAACAACGGTGGCTTTGGGGGGTTCGGGAACAATAACAATCAGGACGCGGCTGCAATGCAAGCCACCATCACCGAGACTTTGGAGCGTCTCAATCGCACGCCGGAACAGGGCTTTGCCGAGTTTGCCGACAATCAGTCCTCTGGCACAAAGTATGCTGATTTGCTGGACGCCTGGGCTCCGCTGTTCAGCTGGGTTCAGCTGGGCCTCTCTGCAATCTTCGCTCTTGGCCGAGCTCTGTGATGACGTCGAGCCCCGTTTGGCCGATGTTGTGGCGCATGGATTGGCTCTGCGCGAAAAGGCCCGCGCCAAGGCCAGCGCCAGCGAGGCCTCTGCTCCGGCCGCAGCGAGCACATCGGCAGCAGCCAGCGCGTCAGCCGCAGCCAGCACCTCAACCGCAGCCAGCACCTCAACCGCAGCCAGCACCTCAACCGCAGCCAGCACGTCCGGCACTGCTACAACCACCTCCGAACCTTCAACATCGCGATCTAGCTCTGCAGACGAGGCGTCCCGCCGGTCGCGGCCTGCCCTGCAGCGTGTTGCCGCAGCAAGCGAGGATGCACCGGCAACCGCTGAAGGCAGCACCCTGGTCAGTGCCGAGCAGGCGGCCCAGCAAGACGCGCCCGCAGCCGTGTCCAAGTTGGATGATTTGGTGTTCTTGATGATGCAGCAAGGGCCTGGGCTGGTCGATCGCATCATTGATTGCATTTTTGCCGGATCGGACAAGCTGGATGCGCCAGAGACCTCGCAACCGTCTTCTGCGGCCGTGCTTGTTGACGACGCTGCCTCGCCGTTCTTTGAGGCCTCGCGAAACGCGTCGCCGTCTCTTGCCATGTCGCTCCCCAACATCCAAGGACGGTTTGTGCGCTCGGTCGTTCGCGTTTTCATCACCCACTATCTGTCTGTGCCGGAGGCGGAGCGGCCAAAGTTTGAAATTCAAACGTCCGGATTCTCGTTTGGCAACAATTTCATCACCAACGGGGCGGTCGCCCTCGAGTTGTCGATTGTGGCTGCCAACTGCCGACGTGTCTTTGATGCCTTCCCGCTGGTTGCCGTGCGGGAGCTCTCCGAGAGCGGACGCGCGCTTTTTGCCATCCTGCAGCAAGGGTCTCTGTCGCCGGCCGAGCATCGACTGCTTCTCCCCGGTCGCGACCCTCTCCGAGCGCGCAAGTGGGCCGTGTTCAACCGCCCGACGCTCAAGCCGGGCCAAGCGATTCCGATCGAGACGGTGGACCGGCAGTCTCTCGAGTGGGCCCAGACACCCATCACGGAAGAAAACAAGACGAAAGGAGCCCAGATTCTCACCAGCATCTTCTCTCGCATCCTCAAAGAAGTGGCCGAGCTGGCGCACGGGTACGAGGCCAAGCTCTCGCACAAGAATGATGCCGTGTCTGAAAACGCTGCGGCCTTGTCCAGTGTCGGCTCGGCCAACGTGGTTGCCGATGAAGCCGCGTCCAGCCCGGCCATCAGCATTGCGCTGTCCTCGGAAGGAGTGCCAAACAACGCATCCCCGGGCGCAAAGCACTCGTACACGGTTCGCCGGCGTGTCCGCCACACGCCGTTTGTGCGGGAGGAGATTCACCGCATTGTCGTCCGGATGGCGAGTGCCCCGTGGGCTTGGATTGCGTCGTCGATGGATTTGCTCGAAGCTCAGCTGCGCGAGGGCTTGGTGATGCCCTTCCCGATGGGCAAGGGCACCGTGACGGGCACCATTTTGTCCATTTTGCGAGCACACAACCACGAGCATGGCCGTCTCACACCCGCGGTGAACGTGCACGGGTCCAAGTCTCTGGCCTACATTGTGGACGCGTTCTTCTTCTTGCTCAAGCACCTGCCTCGCATGTCCCAGTCGCTCGGTATCTCGCTGTCGCTGAACGAGCCGCTGGCACCCTCTGCGGCCTTGTCGCCCAGCACTAGCACGCCCTCCACGCCGAGCGTGTCGGATGCGGCTGCACAGTCGCCGCCGTCGCTGCCTTCGACGCCGTCCGGGACGCAGAAGCGTGTCACAAAGATGGACTCGTTCTTCCACCGCTCCGCGTCCATCCAGGGATATGTCCAGGGAGATGCAGACCCGAGCTCGCCGCTCGTGTCGACACCGCTGAAAACAACCATCCCAATCGCAGTCAACCCTTCGCTGTTGGATGTCCAGAAGGCGGGCATCATGGCGCTGGGCATGAGCGACGAGCAACTGGGTCGGTCCAACCTGCGCATGACTTTGATCTCTCGGCTCGAGTCCCGTGACCAAGTCGGCCGGTCGTACCATTCTGCGGGTCGCGGTGGCGGCGGTGCACACGGACACGGCGCCGCTCACTCGCACATGTCGCACTCGCCAGCGCACCAACTGGGTGCCCAGCAAGGCGCTCATCCCGTTTCCATTAGCGGCGTCGGAGTGTCGCCGCTCGATTCGACCCATCCGATTACGCATCAGTCCAGCATCGGCGCGAGCTCGACTGCTTTGGTGGCCTTGGCTCTGGAAGATGCGTCGTACGAGGACCTCATGTCGCGTTGGTGCCTTGCACTCCGCTTGTTTGCCCGCTGCTTCTTTGCCGAGCTGTCCCGAGAGCGCGACTCGCAGGTCGTCCAACTTGCCGAGTTTACCGTCAAGATTGAGCACTTCCAGCGCCTCATGTCAGAGTCGTTGAGCGAGGCTGGCGGCTCGTCCATGTCGTTCGAGCAGGTTGACCGCGAGAACATCTTGCCTGGCGTGTTTGAGCAACTCGGAAGGTCGGAGGGCCGCGTCTCCAGCGTCTCCGCTCGGTTTGCACGCGAGGACGGTGGCGGTGCTGGCGTGACGCGCGGTTTCTTCACGGCGGTCGCCGAAGCTCTGATGGCGCCGCCTCCGGCACCAAACTCGGAGGCTGGCAGGAAGGCTGCGGCGCAGTTGGCTGCTGCGATGAACAGCAACCAACCGCACAAGCACGCCGACTCGCTCTTCTACGAACCCGGCAACGCGGGCTTCTTTTCGCCGCGCCACTTCCCCGAGTTTGAGCTCCCCACGTTGCCCGTCAACTCGAGTGGCCAGCCAATCATCCCCCCTGAAAAAGCGGCCGATTATGCTCGCCGGGCTGCCATCCTCAAGCAGTATCGATGCGTTGGGCGCTTTATTGCATTGACGCTCGCCACGCAGCACACCATTCCCCTCACATTCAATCGGCATGTGATCAAGTACTTGCTCGACAAGCGTCTTTACTCGCACGATCTGGCCTTCTACAATGTGCAAAAGTTTGAGTCGCTGAGCTACTTTGTGCGGGCGCCGTACGCCGAGTGGGCCGACATTGAGCAGACATTTGAAATTTCGCGCAGCGAAGAGGAGGGCGGCGGCACCGTTGAGCTGATGCCTGGCGGCAAGGACGTGCTGGTGACTGCTGAAAACGCCCATCTGTTCTTCAAGCTGCATGCCGAGTTTTTGATGGTGACCAACGTCCAGCCTGCACTCGACGCCATGCGCGAGGGCTTTGTTGCCGCGCTGCCCCGTGGACTGCTCGGCTACCTGACCCCCGAGGAATTCTTGTTTGTTTTGAACGGCTCCGGATCCAACATCAAGATGGAGGACTTGCGTGCCTGCATTCACTTCCACCGACGCATGGGGCTCACCCCCGAGCGGACTGCCGAGTTTGAGGGCTGGCTGTGGCAGGTTCTCGAGGAGCTGTCTCCGCAAGACAAGAGCAAGTTCTTGTACTTTGTCACTGGCAGCTCGCGTCTGCCCGCCAACCGCCAGCACTTTAACCTCCAAATCACGCTGACTGGTTGCACAAGCGACTCGAGCTGTAGCATTGGCACCTGCACGCACCTGATCACGGCCGCCTCCTGCTTTATGCGTGTCGACTTCCCATTGTACGCGTCGCTCGACATTCTCCGCGAGAAGCTCAACTATGCGATCAACAATTGCATTTCGTACCTGTTGCATTGAGCTTCTTTTTTTCGTGTTTTGTGTTTTTTTCTCTTTGTGATGTTTGTGCTGTTCTTTCTTTTTGTGATGTTTGTGTTGTCCATCCTCTTTGTTGCTGCTGTTGTCAATGTTGTTGTTCTTTCTCTCTTTTTTTTTTTCTTGTCACATACGTTTGAATGTATTTCGTCCTTTGAACAACAATGAAGATTGCCAACCATGAACATTTGCCTTTCCGACCAGTCTCATTATTTTTCGGTTGAACGAAGAACGCAGCAGGCACAGCAGCAGCAGCAGCGCACTGAAATCTGCAAAGCATGAGCAGACTGGACGCGGCTGGATCCAGAACGGTCTCGCCCACACACCGCGGGTCCAAACAGGACGACAACGACCGCGGAGCACTGCTCGACGGCGGCGACGGCGATGGCGGCGGCGACGGCGGTGACACGCAGAAACTGCTGACCAAGGCGACCAGCAGCAGCAGCAGCAGCAAGCACGATCCCTGGTCGGACCAAGTGCCGCAGTCCCGCTGGGCGCGGCTGAAGGTCGGTCGCCTTGGCACATGATAGAGATTGAGATGGAGAGATAGACAGAGATAGAGATGGAGCTGGAGATGGAGATGGAGATGGAGCGCGAGCAATTTTTTTGATATTCGAGCGCAGTGAAACGGAACGAAAAAAAAAAAAAAAAGCCATTGGATTATTATTTTCCCAAAACTTCAATTTGCATTGCAGACAAGTCCGAATTTTCAGCGATTGATCATTGATGGCGAGAGCATCAATCAAAGAAGGAGGAGAACACGAACCAGTTGAACGAAGGGGGAAAGCAGGGAAAGCAGGGAAAGAAGGGAAGTGGGAGCGATCGACGTGACTGTGTGACTGTAACTAGTGAGTGTGTGTGTGTGTCACGTCTTGTGGGCGAAGCATGTGAGTGGAAAAAAAAAAAGCAATCAATCCCAAATCAAGCAAAATCAAAGCAATGCTGGGAATTGGCGATTGAAAAAGGAAATAGCAAAGAACAAGAATCAAAAAGAACCAAAAGAATAAAAAAGAACAAAAAAAAAAAAGGTCATCTGAGAGATCTGAGAGATGCTATGTTGAAGAACAAATCTCACTGATGTTGCCTGATTCTTCGTGTGCAGGAATCACTCAATCCCGGATTCCCGCCAAGCATCAAGTACATCATCTCGCAAGAGCTCGCCGAGCGGTTTTCGTACTATGGCATGCGCGGTATGCAACTAGAACGTTTTTGGTTGTCATCGTCGTTGGCAAACAAAACAAACTCACACATAACTCGCTTGGCTTTGCATTGGCAGCCATCCTGGTGCTGTACTTTAAGGATTTTCTCGAGTTTGGCCCGGACAGCGCCACCGCCATGTACCACGTCTTTGTTGTCATGGCGTACTTTACTCCGCTCCTTGGCGGCATCATCAGTGACAGCTGGTGGGGCAAGTACAAGACCATCATTGTGCTCTCGCTCATCTACAGCTTGGGCAACATTGTCGTCTCGGTGACGGCCATTCCAGGCGTTACAGGCACTCCGCCGCACGTAGGTCTTTTGTGTGTTGCTGTTTTTTGATGCGCATTGACGATTGCTCGAGTCTGCTGGAGTGAGGTGCTCACTTCTTGGTGTTGCCCGATTTTTTTCCCCTTTGCTCTGCATTACAGTGGTGGGGAGTGCTCATCGGATTGACTCTGATTGCCATTGGCACCGGTGGAATCAAGGTAAGCCACCTAGGATCGGGCGGGTGCTGTGGCTGCTGCTGTTGTCGTTGAATTGATTTTGTGATCTGTGTTTGACTCTCTCTCTCTCTCTTCCTTCATCACCAGCCGTGCGTATCGGCGTTCGGCGGCGACCAGTTTGTGGCTGGTCAAGAGCGACAACTCAGCATCTTCTTCTCAATGTTCTACGCGGCAATCAATACGGGCAGCTTCATGTCGATGATTATCACGCCCATGCTTCGCAGTGATGTTCATTGCTTTGGTACGTGGCTCGACTACAAACGGATGTATTGTGGTTGTTTGCGTGTTTTCGGATGATCTTTGACTCGTCGCATTTGCAACTAACTTGTCTTCGCTTTATTTGATTTGATTTCGGCTCCCCGACCCCCACCCCCTTGTTTTTTTTTGTTTGCACTTAGATCGAGACAACTGCTTCCCCCTCGCGTTTGGCGTTCCGGCAGCGCTGATCATTGTCGCCACGGGCATTTTCATTGCCGGGTCTCGCCTCTATCGCCGCGTCCCGCCGCCCGGCAACGTGATTGTGTCGGTTGTCTCCACAGTCAAGACCGCCCTCGTCACGCGTTTCCGCGGCAACGGTCCGCGGAAGGCCCACTGGCTTGATTACGCAGAAGGCCATCATTCTCGCCAGACGATCGAAAACACAAAATCTCTGATGCGCGTGCTTCTCATCTTCTTGCCTTTGCCTGTGTTCTGGACGCTGTACGACCAGCAAGGGTCTCGGTGGACCTTGCAGGCGGAGCAGATGAGCGGCGACCTGGGCCCGCTGGGCACACTCAAGCCTGATCAGATGCAAGCGGTGAACGCCGTACTGATTCTCATCATGATTCCTGTTTTCCAGAAGGTCGTCTACCCGCTGTGCGAACGTTTTGGACTGAAGCTGACTCCGCTGCGCAAGATGGGCGCCGGAATGATTCTGACCGCTGTTGCCTTTGTGATTGCCGCGTTTGTGCAATTCGCCATCAACGACACCCTCTTTGACCCGAGCTACTCTGGTGCGAATGGTGCGCGCCTGACTGTGATCAATGGGTTTAGCCAACCACTCAAGCTCAACATCACACAGCCAGCCCAGCCGCTCATCTCCCTCCAATCGCCGGCATTTTCAATCAAGCCGTACATGGACGTGTACAACGGCCCAGCTACTTTCAGTGCCTTTGCCCCGAGTGCAGTGGACCCGCTCACAGGCTCCAACACGTTGAGTGAAACCTCAGTCGTTTCCAGCCACACCATGTCGACGGTTGTGTTCTTCCCCAGCGCGGCTACCGCGGGCGCCTTTGACTTTGTCGTGACCGACGACGACCTCGAAAACCGTCTGCCAGAGCCGAGCCAAACGGCCGTTCGCCTCATCCACGCGGCCCCTGGAGCCTTCCCCGAAGGCATCTCTCTCGTGCTGGCGGACGGGCCGTCGGTGGCGCGGGAAACGGAGGTTGTGAATGTGGCTCCAGGCACCGCCAGCGCATTCACTGATGTTGCGTACGGCACGTTCATTCTGCGGATTGTTTCCAGCGTGACTGGCGATGTTGTGGCCGAGTCGGCTGGCGACATCTCGCTCGGCGATGGCGCAGTCATGGTTGTTGTGCTGACGGGCGACTCCACCGCCAGCGACCCGGCTTCTCCATTGAAGGTGACGACGTTTACGTACGTTGAGCCCAAAGACGTCTCGATGATGCTGCAGCTGCCTCAGTACATTGTCATGACCGCGGCCGAGGTCTTGTTCTCCATCACTGGTCTCGAGTTTGCGTATTCGCAGAGCCCGGCCTCGATGAAGGCTGTCGCGACTGCGGCGTGGCAGCTCACCGTTGCCTTTGGCAATCTGATTGTCGTTATTGTGGCCGAGTCCAGGCCTTTCGACAACCAGGCGTACGAGTTTTTCTTCTTTGCTGGCTTGCTGGCGGCGGTGACCATCGTGTTTGCCTGGCTCGCTTCCATGCACACCTATGTCACCGTGCTCGACAATGGCGACGATTCGGACAAGCTCGACGACAAGTCGCCCCTGGCCACATCCCGCTCCTCCACAGAGGATTACGGCTCAGTGCCAACTTCAAAACTATCCTTCAGCGATGCTTAAAAGCCACAAAGAGCCCCCCCTCCCACTCATTGCTTATTCGTTTTTTGTTTCTTTCGATCGATGTGACGTACTCTGTGTGTGTTGCGTTAGTCCACCTTGTGATTCCGTCTGTTGCAAGCGTGTTGGTTTTTTGAGTACGTTGAAATACATGCATGATTTTTGTTTTTGTAACTCTGGGAGCTAGACACGGATGTACTCGAGACGACAAGTTCCTTGCAAACACTTCAAACAACCAGGTTTTAGGGTTGTCGCTGCAAAACTTGAAACTCATATGCGATGCCATTCTCCGTTCGGGGCTCGCTCGCTACAATACGGAACGCCGGATCAATGGGTGGCATAAATACATCGCAATGGATGTCGGCGTTGATCTGTGTCAAGTAAATCCGCTGAAGCAGCGGCGACTGAAGAGCGGTCGCATAAACCTGCGCGCCGCCAATGACGAACACCTGGTTGACGGTGCCATTCGCGTGCAGCTGCTCGAGCGTCTGCAATGCGGACGAAAACGACGGCTCAACGAGAACATGCTCTGGGATTTCGTAGAGGCTGCGGTGGTCAACAAGGTTTTAGAATTTTGAGCGACTTCCCAGCGACAGCGCTCCAACAAAGAGAAATAATGGAGATGAACAGATGTGCATCGTGTCAAGCCTCTACCTTCGGGCGTCGGGATTGCTCGTCAGGACCACGTTGAGCCGATCTGGCAGCGGTCGAAATTTGGCGGGAATCGACGTCCAAGTGGATCGGCCCATAATGACCGCGTTCGGCGGTGTTGCTGTTGTTGTCGTCGTTGTCGTCACGGCTGACTCGAGGACGACACGACTATCACTGGTTTGACTTGCCATGGTCTGGTCTGGCGCGGGCGACGCGGTGGTAGCAGCAGCAGTAGCAGTTGGAGCGACCGAGTGTGCATTTGGCGCCAAAGTGAGGCGTTTGAAGTACTGCATGTCGCCGCTGTGTGAGCGAGGCAGTCGTACATCGAGGATGAGCAACATGTGCAAACACAAAGAGCAAGTTCATGTCCGACGCGCGGCATTGAATAGGGAGGGAGGGAGGGAGCAAGAGTTCGTGCCTGAGCTTCCATGGAAGACGATTGTTCAGCCCGATTCCAAGCGCGTCGCGCGTTGCAGCGACCACGATCGAGAATTGCATGATGGACAAAAAAATGAACGACTGGGCACTCGTAAAATGCGTGTGTTAATCAAGATAAACGAGCGAGTTTTGACGAGATTCGTTATGCATGAGGGGTGGATACAGAATAATTTGTATTCCATGAACGTTGAAGCAGTCGCAAGTTCAAAGGACGGGTAATGATGAATAAATAGAAAACGCAAAACAACAACAAGCACAACAACAGGCACAAACAGACAATCACAATCGGTCGAGCCCGTCCGCTGGCAGACGAGCATAGACTGGCTGCGATCGAAGAGCCCGCGCCATGTACAGGGAGCGCGCCATCGTCACGACACCAATGACGACAAACAAGACGAGGGCGCTCATTTGCAGATCGGCGCTAATTTCCAGAGCTTGGTCGTGCGTGAGAAAGAAGGTGCCGTCTGCAGAGCCAAGCGCGCCCGACACGATGAGGGGATCCGACTGGTGACGGATTACCAAACTGGATGTGTCGGCAGGGACTGAGGTCACAAAGTGTGCGTTTGGATCTGTGGTGGTAAAGTTGATGGCAAGTTCAGACCAGGCAGAAGGGAGCGGGATGTTGCGAGCTCCGACGCCAGACAGCTTGTCCCAGTTCGCTGGAAAGCAGGGACCCTGCGATGCCAACGCCGCGCCGGCAGTCATCGCGAGCGCCGAGACGCAGGGTTGTGTCAACGCCTCGCACGTCATGCAGTGGCGGAATTGCGTTTTGGCACCTCCTTGTGGGCGATAAATGGCAGTCCAGCGCAACTTGCTGCGCTGGGAGCACTGCACCAGCGACTTTGAAGGTTCGGAGAAGAGGCGGCATCGGATGGCGGCAAATTCGATGTTGGACAGCAGGATCTCGTCGGAAGCAGAAGTGGATGGAAGTGGCTGAGAAAGGTCGAGTTCGAACGTGCTGCTGAGCGTGGTCACGGCGAGTTTGACGTATGCAGAAATGACTGGGGTTGTGGGTGCTGCCTTCCACGCTGCAAACAACGGCGTGGCATCCAGAACATGCGGCGGGCTGCTCGAGGTGGCGTTGGTGGCGAATGACTTGCTGCTTGTAGCGATGGAGAAGGGATGAGCCAGCGTCGTGCCATCCACGCCGTTCTCCTTGGTAGATTGCAACTCGAACGTGCTGAGGTCTGACGCCAGGATGGGCGTCCTGGAAGCGGCAGGAGTGACGTGGATCAGAGCGTCCTCGTTGCTGCTAGGATTCGCCGGCAGAACCACCAACGTGTGCTTGATCTGCTCAACCGGTAGGCCAATCTCGACGGCGCTGGTGTCTTGCGGGAGGCCAGCAACGTAGACGTGCGCATCTCGGATGACTGTGCGCGCTTGCGGCCACGTCCGAACCTTCTCCTGGTACGTGTACTCTTTGGCATAGTAGCGACGCGGACGACGATGAGGACGAGGATGACGATGGCGAGGACGATGCTCCAGCCGCGTCGTCAGCGACTGAGTCGCGCTCGCCAAGCGCGTCCGACGGGCCCAGCTTGACGGCGAAGGCGAACATGAAGACAATCAGCGAGAGCAGGAACACGAGCATGACAATGTGCGACGGCCCGGCAGCCACTCGCGGGTCGAGCAGGATGCGGCGAACACCGCCTGCGCGCTGGGCCGCGAGCATGAGTGACTGGCGGTGCTCGCTGAGCGACGGGGAGGAGGAGGAGGAGGACGACGGAGAAGCAGAAGCAGCAGAGGCAGAAGCAGAAGCAGAAGACGGAGCGGCGGCAGCAGAAGAGGCAGCAGAAGCGGCAGAAGCGGTGGCGTCGTGTTGTTGTTGTTGTTGTTGTTGTAGTGGTGGTGGTGGACTCGACCAGATCGGACTGCTGCGAGAGGCAGTGGCTGAGGCAGAGGCAGAGGCAGAGGCAGAGGCAGAAGAGACAGCCTGGCTGGCTGGGAAACCGCGCGCCAGTCCAGACAGACCATCCGTCCCGCTCTCAGCGCGGAGCACGGTCGAGGACATTTTGTGGTGCCCGGAAATCAAGATCAATCAAAGTCAGAGGGAAGCGGGATTTGCACAACGGACTTGCAGCGAGATGGAAGGGGTGCAAAACTGAGACTGAGACTGAGACTGAGACTGAGACTGAGAAAAAGCGACAAATACAAGTACATTGGAAGGCGACAACAACGACAACAAATACACCAAGCAACACACGTTTTACACCACCTTGAACAAATCCACAGCAACGCTCACAATACCAATAAGAACTTCAACGGAAATCAAAATGATGACGTTTTACACCACCTTGAACAAATCCACAGCAACGCTCACAATACCAATAAGAACTTCAACGGAAATCAAAATGATGACAATATACTCGAGACGCGTCGAGTGGAACTGATCCTGCTGGTCTTTGAGCATTTCGAGCATGTCCTGTATCAATATTAAAAGTCCGAACGAGTGAGCGGGAACACGAGAAACGAGCCGACATAAAAAAAAAAAAACCAAAAAAAAAAAAAAACCGCGCGCCACTAACCTGCAACACCATGAGTCGGGTATTCAAAACCTCTACACGAGCTGAAATCTCCATGTATTGGCGCACGGCCTTGTACACGCCTTGGAGATGATCCGGGGCAGACCAAAAGTACTCTGGCGTGTCTAGTACATCCGTGAGCAGATTGACGGCGCTCTTCTGCATGAAAATAAAGCCAATCTTCTTGGAGATGGCCAGGCGCGAGAGCTGCACTTGCCCCGTGAGGGCAAGATCCCCAGGAATGTGTTTGCTCGATTCAATCGTCTGTTCGATACGCTCCTCAAACACGCAAAGCTTGGTGCTTTGCGACAGCGCGTGAGAAATGGCCAATTTGCAGTGATGATCTTCGAGGTTGTTGATTGTGATGATATCGTTGTGGATACGGGGCTGCTCCTCGGGACTGTAGCGAAGCTCGAATTGGTCGACCTAGACGAGTGCACACACACACGCACATGCGGTAGGTCAGCAAAGAGTCAAAAACAAACAAACAAACAAACACACAGACAAAAAAAAAAAAAAAACCCCGCCCGTTTCGACAGCACTCGAAAGTCGAGAGGCTGCCAGCGCTCTCAACTCCCAAAGCATGAGCAATTCGACACACAACTTACCTGCACTTCGAACGCATCCAGGGGTGTGGCCTCAAAGTTGGACAGTTCGGTCAGCACATCCGCCTCTTGGGTTCGTGACAAGCCCCACATAATCACAACACCATAATCAAAATAGATAATGTCGCCGAGGCAGTCGTTCGGTCGGCCTCGAGCGTCGAGGTACCGAGCGTACATGGCTTCGTGGTACCACAGTGGTAAGACGCCGTCATGCGGCGTGTCGCGGTACTTTTCGCTAAGATAAGTGCGTAACTTTTTGGTGTGGTAGGCACTGTCCGTGGAAGAGATGGGGGGGGGGTCGGCAAGGCGGTGAGGTCGGGAGTGAGAAACAAGGTCAAAAGCACATCATGCGTCAAACCAAAGAAAGAAAAAAAAAAAAGCAACACAACGCTCACAGCCGTCATCATCAACCATGAAGGTCAACCAAAAGTACTATCGAACAATCACATACCCTGCTGTGCAGTAAACAGAAATTCGAGCTCGAGCTCCGAGAATAGTGGAAGGGTGAGAGGAAGTCGCCTGCGTCTTGATGACGGCCACCTCGTCTTCGAGCACGGGTTGGACGGGAACTGTTGGCGCCTGTGCCATTTCCTCGGGCTTTTTAATGTCCGGAAGGGCAACAAAGCGGTTGTAATTCTTCTCTTTGCGCGCTGCGGCAGCAACTGCAGCCGAAACGGCGGCCTGTGCGAGGGTCGAGCCCGCCACAGAGTTGGCCAGAACAACGTGCGAGCTAGAGGCAACCATGCCAGATCCCGTGGAGACAGGAGAGGCGGGCCGGGATGGTAGAAAGTTGGACGAGAAGGCCGAGGGCTGCGACTGTGGTTGTTGTTGATGGTTGGTCGAGAAAGCATTTCCAAACAAAAAGGCCGGCTCGCCGACGGGCGGAGTGCCGATTGTCCACTGCGATGCAAACTCTTGGCCCAGGTTTGGGTTGATTGAGCGGGTGACTGGCGGCGACGAGCTCAGCTTGCGACTGTGATGCATGTCGGACAGGGCGACGGTGGGCTGCACCGGCAGGCCAGATGCGGCCGCAGCATTGGCATTGATGCTGCTATTGATGCTTGAGGTGGGGTATGCGCTGCCATGGCTCGACGCGGCCGGTTGGATCCGGTGCACAACGTTCGCGTACCTCGGCGTCGGCGAGATGAGCGACCCGTCGCGATCGACAATGGCTGCGCTCGTGGCGCGATCCTTGTCCTTGCCGAAGCTGGCGGTCGACTTGTCCTTGTCGCCAAACGGGCGAATGTGGAGGTGCGGGAAGGACAGTCCGCGCCTTGATGCTGTTGATGACGCGCTCTTGGATGACTAGGAAGGAAGTACAGAGTGAGCATAGACGAGCAAAAGTGCAGCTGCTTGGTCAACTGTTGGTCAACTGTTGGTCAACTGTCGATGCGTACCTCGGGCAAGTCGTAGTTGATGTGTCTGCTGTAGCTGCGGTCGAAGCGGTCCTTGTTGCCAGCGAGCCCAGTGAGCGAGTACAGCCCGCCGCCGTCGCTGTCGATCGCGTGCGCACCACCGCCACCAGCAGCAGCTGCTCCACCACCAGCAGCAGCAGCAATGGACGCGGATGTCACAGGGGTGGCACCAGTGGCAGTGGACTGATGCTGGTGCTGGTGCTGCTGCTGCTGCAAACTAGCTGCTCCGCCACGACTCGCGCCACTTCCAGCACTCGCATTGGGATTGCTGCTGCTGTTGTTGTTGTTGTTGCCTTGTCCATGCACAGAACGCAACAGCGGCGCAGCTTCCGCATCAGACCCAGGCGAAGACCACATGGCTGGCGAGGACAGCAGACGAGTGAATCAAAGATCAACGTTGGGGAAGGAAAAAAAGAAAAAAAGAGTGAAAGCAACTTGCGTGGTTGTCGGAAAAATGAGGGCTTCTCGCAACTGACAGAAATCTCAGAGAGAATCGAACTTGGGAGGAGGGAGGAAGGAGGGAGGAGTGAGGAAGGAGAGCGAGCGAGCGAACGAACGAATGAAAGTGGATACAAAATACAAAACTGCAAATGAAGTACAGCCGAACACGAGCGGACAGGAAAGCAGCTCACATCAAACAAGAAGCTTGGATCATGCTGGTGGGGGCTGATCTGAGGGCGTAGCAGACGGAAACGTAGTTGCTGCTGCTTCTGGTGCTTCTGATGCTGCCGGGAGCTCGCCGCGAAGCAATTGGAGAAAGAGCCCCGGATGAACAACGCGGCCGTAGCGAACACTGAGCAGGAACGGACGGGTTTCGCTAAACAGCTGCATGGGATGCAGGGCCTTGGTTGTGAGTGCACCGAGCGAGCTGGCAAACGGCTGCGGGATGACCGCTCCCGCTGGATACACCTGATTGACCCTCCGGCCCCAGAACGACAGTGTCGCAACGCGCATCTCGTTCGTGGAGAGATTGAGCGCAAGTTCACCAACGTAGCGGCGCAGCGCAAGCGACAGTCCGACGAGAACTCCGCCCGTCGCTGCGGCGCTTGCCACTGCGATTGCGAGCGTCGCCGTGGTGACACGCGGAGGTGGTGGTGGTGGCGGTACTTTGGCAGCCAGTTGTGGATCAGAGCTTGTAGCAGCATTTTCAAGAGTCTCGGACGAAGCCTCCTGTGTCTGCGCATCGATCGCCCACACGGCGGCCATTGGAAGTACGAGTCCCGACACGACGGCAACATGGAGGATTTTGACGCGTGCGAGGAGTTGCCAGATCTGCATGCCCGCGCCCTTGTAAATGACAGTAAAGTGGGGCTGTGTTGGTGGTGGTGGCGGCTGGGCTTGTGCCATTGCGCTCGTTGTGGCAGCCGTAGTGGCAGCAGCAGCAGCAACAGAAGCTTGAGGCAGCTGGCGAGTGCTCAGCCATCGCCGCCTCAGTAGTGGTGCTGCTGCGATCCATGCGTGTGCACCATGCCGGACGGGCGAGTTGCGTTGTGCCAGTCCAGGCAAGCACTTGCTGGACAGGCTGGCTGGAGCACATTCACCACTAGCAGTCATCTATGGATCTGAAACCTGGACTGCGAGTGCGTGCCAAGTCGAATGGGATTCCCCCCTATCTGCGATGAATCATACTGTAGGATGCATTTTCATTTCGGTTGTTGCTTTTCTCAGAACTTGGCGGGTGTTTTTTTTTTTTCAGTCTTACTTTGTCTGTCGTGAAGGGATCATCGAATGTCGCTCAAGTCTGGCTATCTGACCAAGCAGGGCGGCAGCGTCAAGGCAAGCTATTGTGCTGCTATTGTCTGTTGTCTGTTGTTTGTTGTTGTCGAGAGTGAGTGTGAGTGAGTGAGTGAGTGAGTGAGGGTTGAGGTTGAGGTTGAGAGTGGCTTTTCCTGTCGCTCAGCACGCGGACTCCTGTGTGTGTGTCTCTCTCTCTTCTCTTTCTCTTGTGCGAGACGTGCATCACCACCACTTCCTTCATTATAGCAGCAGCAGCCAGAGTGACACACGAAAGAGAAGAAGAAGAAGAGAGAGTGGAGCTTTTTTTTTTCTTTCTTTTTTTTTTTTGATCTACAAGTCGGCTTCTGTCTGCTGTGGAAGAGCGGGGTGATGGTGATGGTGGTGGTGATGGTAGTGGTGATGGTGATGGTGATGGTGATGGTGATGGTGATGGTGATGGTGGTGATGATGGTGGTGCAGCCTCGCTTCATTCATACCCACACATACACATACACTGTCGCAGTGGGCCAATGTGAAAGGCCAGCGAAGCAGCTCAACATCACGGCCAGGCCGTGAGCAGACACGAAGCGCCGGTGGACAAATCGCGAACATGGCACTCTCGGATGCGAGTGGTGGTGAAGGAGTGGTGGTGGCGGCGGCGGCGGCAGTGTCGCATTGAACACGCGTGGATGGATTTGCCAATGCATCAGCCATAGAAAAACAAAACCAAAACAAAAAAAAAAAGAAAAAAAAAAAAAGAAACAAAGAAACAAAGAAACAAAGAAACAAAGAAACCCTTCACGACTTTGTGTTGTTGTTGTTGTTGCTTTTGGCTTTGTTTTTGGCTTTGTTCTGTTCTGTTCCGGGCAGAAAAAAAAAAACCAACCACGACCAACAAATTTTGACAACTCACTTTTCATGCGTTCGCGACTCGCAATTATTTTCATCACAGAGCTGGAAACGAAGATGGTTTGTGCTGCAGCCGGCGGGACTGACAACGCCTGCGAGCTTGCAGTACTTTAAGACGGATCGCGCCGCGCTGCAGGCGAACGCAGAGGCGCTGGGCACAATCAGCCTCGCAGATGTCGCCGAGGTCCGGAAGGCGGATGCGGATCCCGAGGTGGCAGGAAAGCGCTTTGCTATTGCGTGCGTCACCCCATCGCGCACATACTGGCTCGTCGCAGATTCAGAGTCTGAAATGAACGACTGGCTGAGCATCCTCACAGAGACGCTGGCAGCCACGGCGGCGCAGTCTCCGTCGAGCCTCTCGCAGCCTGCTGGCGTCGCGTCCATCCTTGCCGCTCCCATTGTGCACGAGGGCTACTTGACCAAGCAGGGCGGCTCCGTCAAGACGTGGAAGAAGCGGTGGTTTGTCCTGCGCGGCAACGCCATTTTGTACTACCGCACCCAGGACGCCAAAACTCCTCTGGGCATCATCAACCTGGCTGCATCCATCGGCACCGCAGAGATTTCCATCCCTGGCCACCAGTTTGCCTTTGAAATCGCGACCCGAGACCGCAATTACTTGTGTGTCGCGAGCTTCAAGGACGAGCTGGATGGCTGGCTCGACGCCATTCGTCGGGTATCAGACGGCTCACATGCAAGCGGTATCGAGTAAGCACTGGCAGGCTTTCTTGGATGTACTCGGGCTTGGTTTTTGTTTCCCCTGGGCTTTTGCTTTTGTGGTTTTTCTTTCTGTTGCTCTTTTTTCCTGCTGCATGTCACGAGCCACAATCTTGCTCGTTCCAGGTTGTGTGTCGTTGACACCTGCTCGCTCACAACTCTCGTTGCATGCCAGACATCTCACTTTCCAGCAAGTACAGGCGACCAACAGCAACGGCGCGAGTGCAGGCACTGCGGTTACAAATGGCTCGCTCGACATTTCGGATTTGCTGGCCCAAGGCGAGAAGATCTTGGGCTCCGACTCGGAGGAGGAAGAGGCACCCAAGAGTGACTCTGCAGCAGGTACTGACCATTGCTTGTTGTTTGTTTGTTTGCTTGTTTGTTGTTCATTCGGCTTGCTTGTTGACTTACCTTTTCGCTTGTTTTCTTTTGAATTCCTTCCGACCAGTTGCAGAGGTCGCTCCTCGCCCTGTTGCGCCGCCTCGCAACACGTCGTTGAACAAGCACGATTTACAGGCTGTTGCCGTGCGAGAGAAACTTGCTCAGATGGGGCCTCCTTCCCCATCCACTCTCAAGGCGCCTGAAGTCGATGCTATTCTTGCTGCATCGGTCGAGGAGCCGGCGGAAGGTGCTTCGTCGTCCAATCCGTTCGAAACTATCAGCACCATGCTCACGAAGGTCTCTGGCTCGCTGGACGAGTCAGCTCCCTCTTCGGAGACAGCCACTCTCGGTGCCTCAGCTCCAGCGTGCATTGATTCCCGCGCGTCGATCGCCCCGAGCTCAGCAGCAATGGATGAGATGAATTCGCTCCTTCAATCGCTGTGAATGAGTGATATGTTTTGGCTTTTTGTTGTTCTGGTTATTGTTGAATTATTGTTCATTTTTACACATGGGTTTAAAGTGAGTTACAATGGGGAGTGAATTGATGTGCAGGGTCTCCGTTCCAGCGTGCAGCACTTTCGTTGTAAATGCACACTCCGTTGAAAGTTACTTTGCGGAACGTTTTGGTGAACACTCGTTTTCGTTTCAAAGTGCAAGACCGTTTTGAAGTGCAGCCGGCGACCGTTGCAACAACAGTTTTCGTTCCAATGTGCATTGGTGACCATTTGGGTATTGAACGATGTCGTTGCACAAAACACGGGACCGTTGCAAGTACGCACGTTTATTGGTAGGAACATGGTTCCAAGTGCACGTCGACTTTTCTTACCCCAGTCTTCTTTCTTTCCAAATCATTCGATATGCCTGTGAATATCAACACAGATCAAGTTGACGAGCAGCGCCAGCCACGCAAACGCGTGCAGTTGAGCGACGATGAGCGCGAGTTGATCGTTAGCACCGTTCTGAATCGCGTCAAACAACAAGTAGAGGCCGCTAAAATCACCGGACACCCTGCATCGACTATCTCGGATGGTATGCGACAATACCGGGAGAACGGCACCTGGGTGGCGAAGAAAAGAACACCGCCAAACCGGAGTATTCTGACCTCCGAGCACATCGCCTTCATGTGCCAACAAGTCGAGCTGCATTCTGCTTTGACCAATAGGCTGCTTGCACAAATGCTGCTGCAGCGATTCAATATCACCGTGCACCCAGCGACCGTTGGACGGGCGGTGAAACGCGCAAATTTCACCTACAAGAGGATTTGGCAGCAGGTTTCGGTAAAAAATTCGCAGCGCGTGATTGACATGCGAAAGGATTGGGCCGAGACGTTCCTGAGTAACGGGCCCGATCCGCTCAAGGTCATCTACGTCGACGAAAGCGGCTTCAATGTCAATCAGCACGCATCCCGAGGACGGGCACTTAAGGGCAGCGAGCCGTTGAGACAGTCAAGTCCATCCGAGCGCCAAACTTTTCCCTGATCATGGCGATCGGCATGAAAGGCATGCTTTACTCTAAGGTCAGCATGCGCACGGTCAACGGGGAAGTCTTCGCTGAAGCGATGGCGGAGCTGCTGGACATTTTTGGATCAAGATCCAGACTTGGATCAAGAGGCGCTCGGCATCGATCCCACCACCCTCCCTGGTTAGATACCTAACACGGAGCTGCTGGACATTTTTGGATCAAGATCCAGACTTGGATCAAGAGGCGCTCGGCATCGATCCCACCACCCTCCCAGAGCAGCCTCTCGAGCCCGAGACCGCCACGATCAGATATGCAGAGAAATCTCTACACGTCGAAGATAGCGACGACGATGAAGAGCAGGGCTCTCAGGCGCAACATGGTGCTTCGGCAAGCTCCTCGAGTTCCAGTCACCAAGCTTCGTCTTCCTCGAGTTTCGCAAGTCTCCCAGCTTCGTCCTCTTCGAGGGTGGCACTCGCCCCGCCCTGCGCAGAGGCAGACGCACTGCATCCATCGACACGAGGCCGTGGGTTTCACCATCGCACGTTGGCCCGATCTTTTCGCGACTCAGAGCATGACCAGTCCGAATCTGAGCAGAGCACTGGCACCTCCGCAGCAACAGCTGCTAGCAGCACTGCCCGTCGTCACTTGATGGCCCTCCGCCCAGCTCGCGCAGCCGCTCGTGGAACCACTGAAACTGCTGCCGCAAAGCAGCTCGGCATCGCACGTGAGCACTTCCCGCAGTGCTCATCGACCTCGGCGCGCTCGGTACGGAGACGACGATGACGATGATGATGATGATGATGTTGATGATGATGATGATGATGATGATGATGATGATGATGATGATGATGATGATGATGACGATGACGACGACGACGACGACGATGACGAGGCGCAAGGCGGAAACTACGTACCGTCGAACGAGGAACTGCGGCTGGATGAGCTGGACGAAGGTCAAGACAACACTGAATTTTTCGCTGAAAGCGAGGAATGCTTTGGTGTCAGCTTCCCCATGGCGGGCGTGAGATACAAGGCGATCATTGTCCTCGACAACGCCAGAATCCACAAGGTGCGCAAGGTGCGAGTGCCGAAAAAACGGTCAGTCCGACCGAAACGGCCATGTTCTTGGAACGGTCGAGTCAAAACGGTGGTGTTTTACAAACGGTCCCGGGAAACGGTCACTGGTGCACCCAAATTCGAAATGTTTCAAAAACGGTGTCGAAAGCACTTTCAAACGGTCACCGAATGTATTTCAATCCGGAGTGTTCACCCAACGGTCCCAAGCGGTACCAAAGTCGCCGAGAACGGAGACCCTGCACATCAATCCACTCCTCATTGGAATCCAGTGTACAGTAGTACCAACGACGGCGACTGCAGAGCAAGAGAACAACAAGCATCACGATAATCGTTTATGACGTTCGCACAAGTTGGAGAAGATCACCAAAAACATGCTACGGCTCAAAGTCTTCACTCGCACTGAGCGCATACAGTTCGTGTTTTTGGTAGCTTTTTTCAGTGAAATCCTGTATTCAAGAATGATTCACGGCTTCAAGAACAACAACAAACAATAATACCGACAACAACAACACCACACACAAGCCGGCAAGGAAAAAAAAATAAAGAGCAAAAAAAATGCTCGACTGCCGGGGATCGAACCCGGATTTGCACGGTGACAGCGTACGGTACTAACCATTATACGACAGTCGAAACTCTTGATGGAAGTCTCTTGGGCGGACGAGCCTCGAGTCAGTAGTACATAGAAGGAACTGTTCGACCAAATCGAGCAATCATCTGAAGCCACATGCACGCTGCCATCAACTTGCAATGTCAGGACCCGCAGGCTCTGCGGTCCCGACTGGGTCGTTCTTTGCTAAGAAGACTGAGCGTTGATGTCTTTGTATTGTTTGTTTGCATGCATTTGGAATAGTCAGTCTGCAAAGTGAAATAAAACACTTTACAACAACATTGCCTGGCTAACCCTACCAAGGTCTTACATGCAAAACATCTGTAGAAGATAATTTGGAGGCGGGAAGCGGTTTTTACGAGGTATTTTCTCCTTGCACGCTGAAGCTGCGGCGTTTCGCCATGTTTCTGGTCAATAACCAAGCTGCACTTTATTCAGATGAATGTTCTTGGATTACTGAATGCGGTGGATGCTAGTTTGTACTTGTGGCTTGTTGTTCATGTTATGGATTGATGTGTACCTGGAGTGTGTTCACTCGTGGCTTTGGAGAAGTGAAGTCTCTTGTTTCCCGATTATTAGTCTCATCATCAACCCATTACTCGTGTCTTCGTGGAACGAGCTCTGATCATGACACAGACCGCCACAGCCAGGGGGCAGTGGACAATCATGTGCAGCCAGTTTTCGAGAGGGGCACGGGTGCCTTGAAGTCGGAAGCAGTGGACGCAGGCGAACGCGCCACTGTGTGACTCCTCGCGGAGTTGTTCGTTGGTGAGCTTGTCGCGGCGAGACAGCAGGCGAATCTCACCCAGGTACTCGGTGTTGTGGGCGATGCGCCAGATGAGGGCGCGGGACAAGATTGGTCATCATGTTGCATCATGTCGCGGCGCAGTTTGGACCAGTGCACGGGTCCTAGGATTTGCTCCCACTCGACCAGGGCAGTTGGTTTGACCGGGGCGGGCGTGAGCATGTGGCGAAGATTGCGCAGCGATGCGTCGGATGAGGTGCATCGCACAATGTGCACGCGCTTTTTGCACTCCTCGATGTGTTTGGGATAGAGTGCCAGCTGTTAGGGATTGAGTTTGCCCTCCCAAAACCAACTGACCTAAAAAGGTACAATGTCAACTCGTCGAAGTTGACATGGGCAAATTGGTTAGATACCTAACACCAGCCAGTAGCGGGCATTCTCAATTCAGAGCGCCACGCAGCTGCAGCCGGGTTGGGTCAACGTCGAGACGCATCAGAGAGCCAAAGAAGAATCCTTCGACCTAAGGGTGTTTTGGTGGAGGATAGGCTTCAGCGAGCTGCATCAGCAGGTCGCTTTTCTTGGTGTGGGGCTTGGCAGACGGAGAGGTCCAATCCGAGACCACTGCTGGGGTGAGTTCAGCTAGCGGGAGCCTGGCTGAGAGGATGTGCTTGGGCACCACAACCTGACCGTGGAGGCGGAACACGTAGGGCTTCACGCGCACAGACAAGGCGTCGGCGGCCGGAGTTTCCAAGATTCTGCGGAGGAAGCCCCACGAGTCAACAACCCAATCGTTCTCGCGGAAGCGCACAGGGGCGTTCCGCAGTTTGGACGGGTCGATGAGCGAGACTTTGGAGCGGATCACTTGGAGTCTGGCTTCGACCTGTGGCAGACGGGAGTCGTAGAACTCGCGGAGATCGCGGGCCGACTGCCATTTCTTGCCAGAGTGGAGATGATGGAGGTACGAGATGCCGTGTTTCCGTAGCATCCAGAAGTCGATCTTGTCAAGCATGGGGTTGCGCCAGAGGGGAGTGGCGAGCAGTTCGTTTTTCGAGCGAGGAGGCTCAGAGAAAGGGAGCAGCCTGCGCCACGCCCTGAAGGCATGGTGCCAGAACACCGAGAGCGAAAGTCTGAACGGGAATTTGGCGACTAGCCGCTGCATGGCCGTGTACTCGGCGACAGGATTGTCGGAGAGCCGAGCAGGTCTGTCAGCCACTTCGGCGAGGTGGTTGACAACCAACTTCCAGAAGCTGGGGACAGGCGACAGGAAGTTGATTAGCGCTTGGGCAGCCGTCGCTGCAATGTTGGTGGGGAGATCGATGAGTCCAAGCCCAAACATGATCGTTTTGGGAGGAGCGGTCACAACCTTCCTGGCGACCGGGGAGAATCGGCCTTTCCAGAGATATTTGTTGACAGTGTCGGACAGTGCCTTGGAGTACGTGTTGGGCATGTGGATGAAGCGACAGTGATACCAGACGCGGGAGAGTCCGATCGCGTTGGCAATCAGGACCCTGCCAGCGATCGAGAGACTGTGGCGCGACCAACGACCCAGCGCACGCGCGACCTTGGCTTGCAGGGCTCGAAGTTGGCTTTGGCAAGATCGCCGTAGCCGAGTTGCACGCCAAGGACTCGAGTCCTGACGGCACCCATTGGAGATGAGCCAAGCCGTCCGGCGGATCGGCATCCCGAAGGGGGCCGAGACGCAGGACGGAGGTTTTGGCCTCGTTGATCTTGAGGTTGGTAGCCCTGCCAACTGTTGCGTAGACTTCAAACAGGGCATGGATGTGGTTGGGATCCGACAGGAAGATCGAAGTGTCGTCAGCAAACAAGCTGGGTTCCACGATTTGAGGACCAGACCTCAGGGCCAGAGAGAGCATCTTGTCGCGCAGTTTGTGGATGACATAGTCGGAGATGACGCCGGCGTAGATGGCATACAAGAACGGCGCTTCGACGCTCCCTTGACGCACAGATCGTTTGATCGGGAATGGAAGCGAGATGGTGCAGTTGTACACAACGCGGGATTGGCAGCCAGTGTTGAGCAGTTCCATCCAACTGATGAAACTCTCACCGACGCCGTACTTGCGGAGTGCTTGGAATAAGAATTGGTGATCGACTCTGTCGAATGCCTTTTCCGAGTCCAGCAAGACAGCAACACCCGGAATGTTGCACACGCGGCACAAATCGAGCAAGTCGCGCATGAGATGGATGTTGGCATCGATGGTACGACCAGGCGTGCCTGGAATGTGCGATAGAAGGCACCTGTCAGGCCGTCAGGACCGGGGCTCTTGTCAGGCGCAGTGTTCTCGATAGCGACAGCAATCTCGTACGGGTTGAGATCCGCGCCCAGTGACTTCTGTTCTGGATTTGCTTGCGCAAGGACCTCGCTCAGGGCTGCCTCGTCGATTGGTTCAGAGTCATAGAGTTTGGAGTAAAAGTCGTGCAGCACTACGTGGGACAATGCGTAGCAGAGGCGTGCCTGGAATGTGCGATAGAAGGCACCTGTCAGGCCGTCAGGACCGGGGCTCTTGTCAGGCGCAGTGTTCTCGATAGCGACAGCAATCTCGTACGGGTTGAGATCCGCGCCCAGTGACTTCTGTTCTGCTCGGGACAGCTTTCGCGCCGGATTTGCTTGCGCAAGGACCTCGCTCAGGGCAGCCTCGTCGATTGGTTCAGAGTCATAGAGTTTGGAGTAAAAGTCGTGCAGCACGGATGCTATGTCGTTCGGAGTAGTAAAGTCCTCGCCGTTCACCGTGAGTTTGGCAATGGTTTGGGCTTTGATGCACTCACGCTCAAGGCTAAAGAACACCTTGGTGCAGCGTTCGGTGAGGGCACACGAGAGGTGGTGCGACCTCAACCTGGCGCCTTCAGCCTTGGTACGAGCGATTTCTTGGAGCTCAGCTACAGCGCCAGAGCGGGCGTCCTGGAGACGTTTGAGCTGGTCCGCCGTGAGCAGGGGATCCTGCATCAGGCATTCGACGTGGGTGATGAGATGATGACAAGCTTCCTCGTCAATGCGGTTGCATTTGGCCACGTAGGCGCCAAGGGACGACGCGTAGCGGACAACTCTGGATTTGAAAATGTCCCAGGCCAGGGGGGCGTGATCTTTCGACAGCCGGATGGACTCGTTCAGCTGATCAATGCACGTGTGGACAAAGTCCAGCAGACGCTGGTCCGTCAGGAGCCGGGAGTTCAGTCTGAATGGCGGAGGACGGTGTTGGTGGTCAACGTGGTGGAAAGCCGCAATGAGAGCTCGGTGGTCGGACCTCGTTTCCTTAGCCTCGAAGGAGACGGGGGTAAAGGGAAATGCATCGTTGGTGAAGATGTAATCAATGCGTCTGCTGGAACCAGGGGAGTTGCCTGTTGGGGACCAGGTGTACAGATGCTTGTTGCCGTGGCACTCCGTCCACGACTCGGACAGGTTGAGCCGGGAGGTCAGGTTGGCAAAGAACCTCTGCGCAGGATCCAACGGCGGGGGATGAGTAGAGGAGGACAAGTAGTTGCGTTGATTACTCAAGCAGAGGTTGAAGTCGCCGCCGACAATCATCGGAAGGGCGGGTTGCGCTTCTCCGTCGACGATCGGATGCAGGTGCGTGGTGATGATGGTTTCCACTTCTTCGAGGAACCTGATGC